ATTTACTATGCATGAGAAACTAATTATTACGTCTCCAAATATCAATTCTTAGAGCATAAGCAATGATCAGTGTAGAAATTTACTCAAGCTGTCACGAACAAGGTGGATCCACATTAACTTTTGTTATTTTGTATCATTTGCACAACCTTCTCAATTCAATTCAAGTAAACTAAAAAAAAAAATCAAGTAAACTAGCTATATAAAGTGTTGTGTTCTATCTTGATTAAACTCATGAAAAAATTTAAAAAGTTATATTTTTAATAAAAGATCAATAAAAACATTTTCTCATCGAATATTTGCTATTTTTCAGTGGAATGTTACTTAATTAATTATTTAAAATGCAATAACATATACTATTTCTTGACGTTCCCAAAATTTATCCACACGTATGTGGTCGGGTGGTTAAGACGTTCCGTAGATTCCTAAAAAAAACCGAGTTCGAATTCGTACCACACAACGATGTCCACAACGCATGGCTACCAGAGCTTTCACATTCTCTTTCCGAAGAGTGATTTACCATTTTTTTTTCTTTTTCTTTTTACATTCCCAAAATTTGGGAACTTAAAACATTCCCTTTGATTAGTTTTGGAAACAAGAAATAGGGGGAGAAAATCCATATCTATGAATATATGGGCTTTATAAGCCCATTACATATGAAAAATCAAAGGGCCCAATATTGAGTCCACATGCTTTCTCCCGAGACGGAACTGATTCCAATAAACAAGTCTACGACTCTTCAGTCTTCTTCACTCACTCTTTCCCTGTGTTCTCCTTTAAATCCTGCGTTGCTCTTTCTTCGATGCTTCTCCATCTCTTGGTGTGATCGAGCATCATCATCCAACTCCTTACAGATTTACTACGTATGCTAGTTACTTCTCAATCTCATTTGATCGCATGCTCAATTTCGTTTCGGTTCTTAGGGTTTTACTGTGCTCTCGCTACTCAAAATCCGTTAGAATCCTCTTTTGATTATCTGATTCCAAAGGATTAAAAATCTGTCAAATATGCGTATTTGAATCATATATGATTATATGTTCGCAATTAGTATCAAACTGTTCTTATTATGCATCAGATTCTCATCAGCAATAATCATTACAGATTGTGTAAAAAAAAAAAAAAGAAAGTTACAGATTGTGTATTGTTGAAATGTGTAATTATTACTTTATAATCATATAGAAAGTATATGTTTAGATGAACCAATGGTGACAGCACCGCACCGCGGTGAATAGTAACAAAAATCTCTACATATACATACGTATGTATCTATACGTTTTTATTACTATTTGAACCGCAACGCAGTTGTCACGCATTTGTTTGTTACTTCATGTGTGTGTGTGTTCTCAAAATGTGTATAATATTTCAGATTATTGTTAACAATGAGTGTGAGTGGATACAAGTCTGACGACGAGTACTCTGTAATCGCTGACAAGGGAGAGATTGGCTTCATAGACTACCAAAACGATGGTTGCTACAATCCCTTAGACGAAGGCCCCGTTGTTATCTCATCTCCTTTCCCTTTCAAGAACGAGAAGCCTCAGTCAATAACCGTTGGAGAGACTTCTTTCGACTACTTCACCATCAAGAACACTACAGACGAGGCTGTTGATCTATGGACCAAGATTTACGCATCTAACCCCGAGGATTCTTTCACCCTCTCCATCTTGAAACCGCCTTCCAAAGACTCAGACGTCAAGGAGAAACAGAGCTTTTACGAGACTTTTACTCTTGAAGACAGGATGCTTGAGCCTGGTGACACTTTGACTATCTGGGTGTCTTGTAAGCCGAAGGATATTGGTTTGCATACGACTGTTATTAGTGTTGACTGGGGTTGTGAAAATGTTGAGAGGGTTGTTTTTCTTTTGGCTGAGGATAAGATATCGAGTTCTCTGGCTACTAACAGGCCTTACTCGAGGAATAGAAGGGCTCCTAAGAAGGATTTTGCTGTTGATAACTACGTGACGGGGTCACGTCCTTCGAAGGCGGTAGCTCAACGTGCTTATAAGAATAGGCTTCCTAGGTATGAGATTCCGAAGGAGACTAGAGAGAATCTTGAGAGGAAGGAGGTTCCGGATTATTTGAACGACGGTCTCACAGTTAATAACTATGGAAAATATTACAAAATGTTACTTATTATGGAAGAGTTACAACTCGAGGTATTATCTCATTTGTTTCAATTTTTTGTATGAAATATGTTACGTGAACAATCCTCTTTTGTTTTTGCTATGTATCATGTAAATTGTAATTTTTTTTCTGTGGTTTAGGAAGACATGCGAGCTTATGATATGGAGAATGTTTCGATGAGGAGAAGGGGTCTCTATTTGTCTCTCGAAGTTCCGGGGCTTGCTGAGAAAAGACCTTCCATTGTCCATGGAGACTATATCTTTGTAAGACATGCCTATGATGATGTAACTGCTCAAGCTTATCAGGTTATGTTCTTGAAACACCTTTGCATCATTTAATATCACTTTCAGCCTCATAACTGCAAATATGTTTCACCATTTATCTTCTGGAGGAATAAAAAAATTGGGAAACGATTGTTCTAACAGGGCTTTGTACACCGCGTAGAGGCGGATGAAGTGCATTTGAAGTTTGCCTCTGAGTTCCACCTTCGCCACACAACTGGGAGCGTCTATAATGTGAGGTTCACATACAATCGAATCAACACTAGAAGACTGTATCAGGCTGTTGATGCGGCAGAAAGTATGGATCCAAACTTCCTTTTTCCATCCTTGAAATCCGGGAAAAGGATGATACAGACGAAACCCATCGTGCCCATTTCACCAGCTCTTAATGCAGAGCAGATATGTTCAATTGAAATGATTCTTGGCTGCAAAGGAGCACCACCATATGTGATCCATGGTCCTCCTGGTACTGGGAAAACCATGACATTGGTGGAGGCCATAGTTCAACTCTATACAACTCAGAAAAATGCTCGGATTCTCGTCTGTGCTCCTTCCAATAGTGCAGCTGATCACATTTTAGAGAAGCTTCTTTGTCTGGAGGGAGTTCGCATCAAGGATCATGAGATTTTCAGGCTGAATGCAGCTACTCGTACCTATGAAGAAATCAAACCTGAGATTATCCGCTTTTGCTTCTTTGATGAGCTTGTTTTCAAGTGCCCTCCTCTACAAGCTCTGAATCGTTACAAACTCATTGTGTCTACATATATGAGTGCATCCCTTCTTAACGCAGAAGGTGTGAAACGTGGCCACTTCAGTCATATTTTCTTAGATGAGGCTGGTCAAGCGTCAGAGCCAGAAAACATGATTGCTCTCTCGAATCTCTGCTTATCAGAAACTGTGGTTGTACTTGCCGGAGATCCAAGGCAGTTGGGTCCAGTTATATACTCAAGAGATGCGGAGTCACTTGGCCTGGGGAAATCATACTTGGAAAGATTGTTTGTGTGCGATTATTACTGCGAAGGGGATGAGAACTATGTGACAAAGCTAGTCAAGAACTACAGATGCCACCCAGAGATTCTTGATCTCCCATCAGAGCTGTTCTATGATGGAGAACTGGTAGCTTCCAAAGAAGACACAGACTCTGTTCTTGCCTCATTGAAATTCCTTCCAAACAAAGAGTTCCCAATGGTTTTCTACGGAATCCAAGGCTGCGATGAGAGGGAAGGTAACAATCCGTCATGGTTCAACCGTATAGAGATCAGTAAAGTTATAGAGACAATCAAGAGACTGACAGCGAATGACTGTGTCCGTGAAGAGGATATCGGTGTTATAACTCCTTACAGGCAGCAAGTAACGAAGATCAAGGAGGTTCTCGATAGGTTAGAGATGACTGAAGTCAAAGTCGGTAGCGTGGAGCAATTCCAAGGCCAGGAGAAACAAGTTATCATTATCTCAACTGTAAGATCTACAATCAAACACAACGAGTTTGATAGAGCCTATTGTCTTGGCTTCTTGAGCAATCCAAGGAGGTTTAATGTCGCAATCACCCGTGCAATATCTTTGCTAGTCATCATCGGAAACCCACATATCATATGCAAGGTACTACTTGCTTTCTTCTAACGTAAAGCTGTGACTCATAACTCCTAACCTCTCAGCTAATGTTGAACTGTTATATGACACAGGATAGTAATTGGAACAAGCTTTTGTGGCGATGTGTGGATAACAATGCTTACCAAGGATGCGGTTTACCAGAGCGGGAAGAGTTTGTGGAGGAACCATTCATTCAAGAAGAGAGCAGCAATGCTCCTCAATACTCTGTAGAAGAAGCGTGGAACATGAGCGGCGAGGTCAACAACGCCGGCACAAAGGAGAAAAATGAATGGTCTGATGGATGGAACGACAATGGTGCTGGGACGAAGGAAAAAGATGAATGGTCTGATGGGTTTAATAACAGTGGTGATGGGACTAAAGAAAAACAAGAATGCTCTGATGGTTGGAACAACAATGGTTGCACAAAGGAAAAAGAAGAATGCTCTGTTGGTTTGAACAACAATGGTGTTGGGAATAAGGAAAAAGAAGAGTGCTCTGATGGCTGGAACAACAATGGTGTTGGGACTAAGAATACAGACGAATGGTCTGATGGTTGGAACGATAACGGTGGTGGGATTAAGAATACAGGCGAATGGTCTGATGGGTGGAACAATGGTGGCACAAAGGAAAAAGAAGACTGGTCTGATGGTTGGAACGACAATGGTGGTGGGAGTAAGAATACAGGTGAGTGGTCTGATGGATGGGACAACAATGGTGGCACAAAGGAAAAAGAAGCCTGGTCTGATGGTTGGAAGTAAATGGATTATGATCGGCAAATAAAGTTGGTGAATGAACAAAGACTATTTTGGTTTTGTTCGTATGTTCGTTTTGTCTATCTTCTGGAACCTTTTGATGTTTTTTCCAAGCTTTAATCTTATTTAATTGGTGTTGATAATCTTTTGTAGGAAGAAGACAGGCAAACATCAAATTTAAAAATATCGTTTAACCAGAATCAAATCAATATGAAAGTAAAAGAGTATAGTATGACATGTAATTGAGAACTTAAAACTAAACGAAATTGATCATCTCATAGGCGAAAAAAGCAAATAGAAGAAGCGTAAGCTTGAGAGAGTATGAAGAGGAAGGCGACGAGGCTGATGGAGTTGAGGTTGTCGGGTTTTCTCCCTTTCCCGATACAGGAATATTCTGGTCTGCTGTAATGACAATAGACTCAAATGTATTATTAAAAGATTATCAGAAAATGCTTAGAACTAAAACACTTTTTTATGTGTTTAAGAAAATCTATGTGTTTACCATCAGGAGTTATCGAACTTGTTGGAGAAGTGGTAGGGCCGAAAGAAGCTGAACCTGTGAGTAACGTTCATCAAACTTATGTTAAAGAGAAAAATCGCTAAAACGTATGTGAACCGGTTCCGGTCCTTAGCCCGGTTTGCGTATCAATAAACTTGTAAAACTGTCTAAGAGAGAGTTAAAGTTTTGTTACTTTACCTTGAGGTGTTTGCGTTTCTGTAGGAGGAGGACTCGTTGGACCGAGAGACACTGGGCCTGTATGTCCACAATAAGATTTGGTTAATTAAAAGAGAAATATATAACACATATTTAAATTGATTAGAATTATATGAAACAATTTTACCTGGAGCAGGAAGAGGTGCTGCAGAAGCTGCGAAATTTCACAATTTTTTTACGTTAAAAATTAGGAATGAATAAATATAGATTGATCTCGATATATATATACAGCACCAAAATTAAAAATATCATAATAGACTGAATAGAAAAAAATGTAATTAGATACCTTTGCATTTAACGGGGACACCAGGCATGCCACATGCACGAGGAAGAGAGATGGCAAGAGTTCGGTTAATAGGAAGATTGATTGGCACACTTGCGGTTACAATCAGACACAAACAGTCCAAACCGGTTCCGGTTAACGATTTAAGAGCCTCACAACAATCAGAAGTCGGAGAACTACCACCTCCCGTTAGAAAACTCATGCACCCCGTAACGCTAGAGAGCATGGTTGGTGAACATGGAGTACTGATTTGAGCAACAATCAATATTGGAGAGTTTGAAAATATAGACAAGAAGATTAGAGCTGAGATTAGGCAAAATCTGGGATCCATTTTGCTGTGTTTTTAGGAGTTTAGAGAAACTGAATCTTTTTTTTTCCTCTGGTCAAGAAAATAAATAGAATTTTTGTTTTGTGGGAATGAAATGAAATGGTTATGGTTTTTTGAATACTTTGTGTGAATGATATATACATGAGATAGAGAAGGGCTAATAAGGTAGCTTGTTGAAGTTGGTTTTGATTTTGACTTTGAAGCTCAACTACCTTAACTAACTTTTACCAGTGAAAGCTAGTTTTTTATTTGCTTCCTTTTAAAAATTATTCTATCATCATAGTCAAAGCATTTATTTGACTATATAATTACACCAATAACACTATGAGATTTCTTCAAAATTTGGTTATATATTACCTTTTAAATTAGAAATATATATTTTAACAATAATAATAATTGATATAAAAAGACTCTGAAGCTTAATATTATGGCAACACCATGATAATATTTTAGGAAATACTTCAAATTTTGTATCAAATAAAATTGTGACGTATCGTGACTACATTGATTAGTAATATAATTTGTTGAGCTAAACACAATACTTCTAACGGGATGTAGATGAAGAGACGTGCAACTTGGTTGGTCGGCGTTTCCAAAGAAACTTCAAAAAGTTTCTCAAGTTTTTTTTAGTTGCTACCAAGATTATCGTATATCTATTTGTCTACTTTAGGAAATTTGAGGTAATAAGAGCATGATTATCTCTAGTTTTTTTTGTAACACTATTATCCCTAGTAGGGGTGGGTGTTCGGGTACCCGTTCGGGTTTGGGTCGGGTATTTCGGGTTTTCGGGTATTTCGGTATTGGGGTTTAGAACCCGTTCGGGTATTTTTACATATCGGGTTGGGTTCGGATATTTTTACTTCGGGTTCGGTTATTTCGGGTCGGGTTAGGATATTTAGATTTTGAAAGAAAAATTTTAAATTCTTAATTACTTAAGTTTCATGTATTTAAAATTTAAGTATTAAATTAACTGGTTTTTAAATGTTTGATAAGTTAGACGATTAATAAGTTTGAAAATAAATTATTGAAAATAAAAATCATGATTTTGCTTATTATTTTCGAATTTTGGATGCAAATTTTGTTTAAATTATGAAATAAGAAGCTTAACATGCATTTTAAATGAGTAACAAATCAATTTTTTTTACAATTATATGTATATTATCTGATATTAAACTATATATAACATTAATATAAATAGTTTTAAGAAAATGAGACAAAATAAATTAGGAATAAATAGGTATATATATATATATATATGTTCGGTTATATTCGGATACCCGTTCGGGTTCGGGTATTACCCGTTCGGGTTCGGATATCCAAACTCTCTTAACTCAATACCCGTTCGGGTATTTTGATACTTCGGTTCGGATTTCGGTTTGGATACTTCGGGTCGGGTTCGGGTACGAGTTCGGGTATCGGATAAAGTGCCCACCCCTAATCCCTAGTATTTCAGTAAATTTCTCAACAATTATAATAATATGTGGATATCTAAAAAAATTATAATGATATGTGGATATCTAAAAATCTTAAGTATCTGATCATATCATATTATGTATTAATCTTCTTATTTTATATTTCTTAAAAACGTTGGTAAGAAATTAGGCATGAAATCGCTCTCATCTATCTCTTTCCCTTTTATTGGATTTGCTGCAAGTTTAGATTTTTCACAAATACTGAGGCAGAAAAAAGCGTGTATACATGTTATTGTATGCTATATGATCAGAGTAAACTTGTGAGTCTTTGAAAGAGAAACAAAGCAAAACAACATAGATTCATGTTTATGGAGTCAGAAACAACAATAGACATGATTTACGTACCAACAATGAAGAAGAATTCAAACAAAATAAAAAAAAAACCAACGAGTAATTTCAGACAACATGTCAAACCTTACTAGCTGAAGGTAAAAAGAAAAAAAAAAAGACAATCATGAGATAGCACAAGAGCTACTATGTAATAATGGTAGGAGGATGAGTAACTAGGGAAAAGCAGAGGACCCCGTCGCACCTAAAAGACCAGAGACTGATCTTGTCTTTGGCTTTCAAATTATTCTCCTTAACGATGTCGTTCCAGCCACAGTTCAAAACGTAGTTCAATGAGCGGCTTTGAGAGTTATTCTTCTTCTTCTTCATCACCCATCTCTTGAACACCAAACTCCATGCTTCAGACCTTTGATCCACGAGTATCGCTTCCAGTCCAGGCTGCTTGCCCCTCTTTTCTTGTTCTAAGAAACTTGATTCCTCTTGCGTCAAGAAGTCGTTTCTTTTTAGCTTGTTGAGAGGGATTAAGAAACGGCTCTGGTTTGGGTTGACATCACTCATGGACAAAGTCTTCTCAAAGATGAGCCACACATCTTCTACTTCCAAAGCAGCATTGAGTCTTTGCTTCTTTGCTTCATTCAACCTACCACTACCCCGTCCCTTTCGCTTGAGAGGTTTAGGGTTTAGTAAGTTCTGAGTGATGTTGACATCGTCATGGTTTGGTGGCTCTTCCCTTGGGGACTTGTTAAGGTCAATATTATTGTTACGCAACCTAGAAGCTCCACTAGAAACTCGATGGTCTTCTTCATTCGTATCAGAAGGAGGAACTTCGTTAAGATCGAATTCATTCGTATCAGAAGGAGGAACTTCGTTAAGATCGAATTTGATAATATTGCATGATGATGAAGGAGACAGTTCATCTTTATCTCTCATAATTATAAGTTCTAGGAATAATTAAAGAAAACCGATAATGAAATATGTGATAGAGAAAGCTAATGAATAAAGTTAGCAAATTGTTTTGAATATATATATACTAAATTGGTTATGTTTCTCCATTAATAACAAAGATAAAATCTAGATATAAAATAAGTAGATAAATATTATATAGATTTTGTTTACCATATTCTGTGAGATTCTCTATTATTATCTTCTTTAGAATTTAATAAATTTTGATATAATATTTACTAAAGATAATTAAATATACACCATATATTAATGTTCCATATATATCTTCTCAAACTAAAATTTCTTATTTTGTATTTTTTTTTTGTTGCAAAGTAATTAAGCTATACATATATGTTCTCCGTGATACCTAAACATAACTAAAAATATTTTTTATAATTTAATTTTGTTTTTTTCTATCTCATTCACATATTTTTTTATAATGAATATTTAATACTATGGTCATATATAACTAATAAAAAATTAAATGAAACGATATGAATAGTTAATTATGGAATTTTGTGTAATGAACTCAGCAATCCATGTACTATATAATCTTTTTGATGTGAAATGATTTTTTAAATGTATGATTTCGTTCCACTTATTCTATAATATGAGTTATTTTTGTTTATATGAAATTATTTTTCATATATATTTTTTTCTGAAATGATATAAAAGCTATGAAATAAAATGGAATACTTTTATTTTTTTATTTTGAAACTATTAAATTGTTTCAACAAAGAAAAAGTTGCTTTTGTTTGAAATGAAAAAATAACTCTTATCTTTTACACCAGATTTGTGATTATCTAAAAGAGAACCATGTTATCATGGTCCTTCTATATGTAGACTGAATCCTCTTCTATTGTTATGTTTGAGATAACTTTTCTGACTTGCTTGTCAATGAGTTTGATGATGAGTCATGATCTTGATGCACTTCTCCAAAAAAAAATCTCATTTTTTTCCATTTTAACTAGTAAACATTTTGGAATACAAAGAAATTAAGCATCTGTGAAGATTTTATTTCAAATTTTATTTTTTAATTGCACCTTACATTTTTTTTCCACTTATTCCACAGAAATTATTAGAATGAGATCTATTTTCATTTCATTCAAATAGTAATTTATTTTGTAATCCTAGGAGTTGGCATTTCATAGAATTTTATTCTTAAGAAAAAAAAAAAAAACTAATCCAGTTGCAACCTTAGTAATTTTTAAATAAACAAAACTGCCGAAATCAGAGGACCGTTGGGTGCTTGACATTTAAATTTGAAAACTGAAGGAACAATAAATAAATAAAGACAAAATCTGAGCCAATTAAAAAAAAAACAAAAGAGAAGTTAAGAAGAAAAACACCAAACAAAGGAAAAGATTTGTCGGAGAAACCAATCAATGGCATCATCATCATCATCATCAAGCACCACCACCACGATGACGACAACTACGGTCTCAACGGAAGACTCAGAGAGAAGAGACAGTTACTGCTACTTCCCAGATTGTCGCAAAGACGCGAACTGCAGCTGCGAGATTTGTCTCGACAGTCTCAACGCAACGCTCGATCTCATGCCTTTGAGTGTACAGAGAAGCTCACTCACTAAACTCTCTTACGCTTCTAATTTCAAATACACCGTTGAGTCTACTCCGAGTTCGTTTGACCCGAATGTAGTCACCACACCCGTCTCTGTTTCTCGCCCGATCTCGAAGGTTGTTGTCTCTCAGCCGAAGAAGAAGAGAGGAGTGGTGAAGAAACCAAAAGTTTTTGAGGATGAGAGGAAGAAGGAGAGAAAGAAGTCACTGACTTGCGTTGTTGTGAAAGTGGTTTTGGTGATTCTGTGTTTGGAGTTAGGGTTTGGTTTGGTGGTTAAAGGGGTTTTGAAACCTGAATTTACTGAGGAGATAGTGAGAATATTTGGTGAGAGATCTCAGGGTGCTAATGATGTAGGTGAGAAGCTGAGAATGTTGGAAGATGAATTAAATGGTTTTGCCAAAAATGGAAAGTTTTGTAGTTGTATAGATTCCGATTCCAGATGGAGATTTAATCAGGTAAGTTAAGGTTGCATTTATATTCCAATTTTTTAACCTAAAGTTTCGATTTTTATTTGACGGATTTGAAAAGTACTGATTCTTTTATTTTAATTTCTAGGATGGTTCAATGTTGAACTCAAAGTGTGTTCTGTATAAGTCTGCTATTGAGGAGGTGAGTATATGGGGATGGCCTTTGCAGACAGCTGGTTTGTTCGGTACTGGATTCTCCTCAAGTTCGATCACCGTCTTATCAGGCCGTGTAACTGAGGTAACTAAGTCTCAATCAATAGCAGATTCAAAATCTCAATGCTTTGTTTGTTTAGTATCTGTTTATGTAAATTTATGACTAGCTTAAACTTGAGTTTGATCGAACTCATTTCATTTCTTTGTGTGTGTTTTTAATGTTGTCATTGAAGTGGTCGGAAGGGAAGTTTGGTTATTCGAGACATGAGACCAACACTACGTGGAGGAAAACAAAATGGAGCACATCGGTTCTGCAATTAGATCCCAACACATGGGTTCTTGAGTACAGTCTAAGCTCGGTGATGGAGAGTTCGAGTTTGTTGTCACTATCTAATGATGTCCTGACACACATGATGGTCCAAGCAGCAAAGAATGTAAACCGGGAGCTTTTCTGGATGGTTTCAGCCTCAAGGAGATTGTATAGTGAAGTGGTGGTATCAGAGGTTAGCACTACTACAATGACACCAACTTAACAAACTCACAAAGAACCCAAAAAAAAAAAGCAATCGTTTTGTTGTGCTTCTTTTCAAGCATTGACATCTTGTCATCATCATCTTTTTAGGTAGTATAAATCATGAAACAACAAGTGCTTGTGACTGTTATTATGTAGTTGTGGAGGTGTGTAGTCATTTTGTAAACGATGTCGTTTTGGTATACAATCCGGTTCACAGTTTGGTTCCTGACTCAAATATAAAATGTTTAATTCCATTTGGTTTGGTTCAGAAATCGGTTTAATTTTGTGGTTTTGCAAAGTATAAAATTAAATTGGTTTATAAATTAAATTTTAGTTTGGTTCGATATGTTTTCTGCAATTTCGTGAAAAATTGTGATGAAATTGTGGGGAAATTGTCGGTATTATAAATGTGAATAATAAATAAACCGAAGTTAACCTGATTCACACCGATTCATTCATGATCGCTGGATATTGAGCGTGCTTGTCTCTGTATGCCAGAGAGAGAGAGACTTATAACAAGTTTGTTGGATCAGGAAGAGAGAACCGCTTCTCGATTGGTTTATGAGGAATTGATTCTTTAAGGAAAGACGATGGCTTTGCGGGTGAATCAGCTTTACACTAGAGACAAGATACTTACCATTCTAGAGGCATATGAACGATCAGGATTGGTGTCTCAAGCTTGCAAATGCATCAACGACCTTGGCATGCCTTTCTTCAGCCATGAGGTAGTGAAGAAGGCATTGATCATGGCCATGAAGAACAAGAAGAACAAGATGGTGCTGGATCTTCTAAAGGCGAGCTTTGATGAAGGAGTTATAACCACAAACCAGATGACCAAAGGGTTTATTAGAGTCAGAGATGGTCTCGAAAATCTTGCTTTGGACATCCCAAATGCAAAGAAGTTCTGTGACTATGTGGAGTATGCAAAAATGAATGGTTGCATCTCATTATCGTTTGCAACAATGTGAATCGACTCTTGCATCAAAATGAGCATGTGTAGACGTTTTTCTTCCTTGAGGAACAAGGTGACGGTAGGTTTTTTTTGTGTTGATATCACCATATGTACAAAACTAGCATGTGTAGATATTAAATAAATAATAATGTGTATCAATAATTTGTATATATAAAATTCATTTCGCCTTAAGCGCGGATCTTGACCTAGTGTCAAATATTATTTCTTGCTACAAGATTCAGGAACCAATATAAGATATGTTTCCCAAATCTATCACACTTTGATTAATGGTGGATATATTATTTTACCTTTTCACATTCGTACTATTTTCTATATCAAACATATCTCAAAATATATTTCACAAATCACAAGAAAGATTGGTGACAATGAAAACAAAGGTTTTATAATTTGTTTCTGAGTTTCCATTTAGATTTATTAGATTTTGGTCGTGAATTTTGACGTAATCCATGACGTATTCGAGTAATTTGTTGAGCGTTTTTTTTTGGTAAAACGTATGGTTTAATGTTTAAAAGGTTTATTCTTATGACATGGCTGGACAATGGCTCTGACTGAAAATGATAACTAAAAACATATGGTTAGATGCTTGATGGAGTAGATAGTCGTAGCTTTTATAATAAGTCGTACAATGGCTCTGGCTGAAAACGATAACTGAAACAGCCGTTATATGATGTAACTACTTGAAATCTTCATATTTTTATCAATAGTTTCCAAAAAGCAATTTATAGATGGAAATTTCTGGGAACCCAACACAACAAACATTAGGCAAAAGAATATCATTTTTTTTTCTTTTTGCAAACTATCAAAAGAACATCATTTGTTACGACATGTTCAAAGAGTGATCAATGAATGAGATATGATTGGTTTTTAATTGCTTAAGATTGGAATTCGCTAGCTAGGACGTTCGTATATGGTTGCTTGAGCAGCTACACTATTCAAACTCACTTATGTATTGTGTTTTGAGAAAATAGCTCAGCTGCAATGGATGCGGTCCAGGGAAAAAGTTTCTTGCCTTAGATAAATGCGGTCAAGGGAAAAAGTTTCTACTGGTTCTTCTTCTTCTCTCCTATCCAGCTTTTGCTTTGTTCTTTTCAAGCAAAATATATCTTATAAGTTCTCTGAATGTTCTTTATATCATTGAAATAGAGCCAGACCCTGGACCTTTTGAAGTCCTATAGGTTGGAGAGTGGTTAGCAGTAACACAAAAGTTCAATTCTATTTTCCCTCTAACTGAGAGACGTGTGAATTTCAGGTATACTTTCTTTAGCAAGCTACCTACTAAGACATGTTTATATCTCTTTCATTCACACTCACTTATGCATTGTGTTTTGCGAAAATACTATGTTCAATCTCATAAAAATCAGTATGAGTAAGAACATGATCATTTTATACATGACTTACGATCTAGAAGAAAATAAAGACAGTTTTTCTTCCTTGAGGAACAAGGTGACGGTAGGTTTTTTTTTGTGTTGATATCACCATATGTTGTTTGACTCTATAGCATATGTGTACTGATTCTCAGACCTTAGGATTCTACAGTCTGAATAAAGTGATTCTAGTTGCACCTTTTTTTGTTGTTGCTAATTCATTCATGTATACTTGGTTTTTCGTTAAAACAATATCAAAGCATAGATGTCGCCTTCTAGAAGTTCTCAACACAAACCAAATTATATAGTGAAGTGGGGTATCAGAGGCTAGCACTACAATGACACCAACTTAAACAAATTCTACACAAGGAAGAAAAAGAAAAGCAATCGTTTTGTTGGTTCTCTTCCTATCATGTCTAGCATTGACATCTTGTCACCATCATCATCTTTTAGGTTGTAATAATATATAGTCATCAACAAACAAGTGCTGATGTAGTAGGTGTTTCATGTCATTTTTTTTCTTTTTGTTGGTTTACTATGACTTGTGTGGCACAACTAGAAACGCTGTCGTTCTGGTTAAATACAATCCAGCTCACAGTTTGGTTCTGGCTCAAATACAAGTTTTATTCATTCCCATGTGGTTTGTTTGGTTCAGTTACACTTAATTGGTTTCCTTTATTTGTGTTTTTGGACAATAAAATTAATTGTTTCATAAAAATTTGTTCGGTTAGATACCTTTTTTCTGTAATTTGGTGAAGAATGTCAAGAAAATGTGGGAAATGTCCGGTTTTGTGAAACAATAGATTAAACCGAAGTTAACCTGATTTATACCGGTTCATTCATGATCGCTGGCAGATTGAGCGCTGCTATAAGTTTGTTGGATCAGGAAGAGAGAACCGCTTCTCAATTGGTTTCTGAGGAATTGATTCTTTAAGGAACGACGATGGCGTTGTCTGCTTTGAATCAGCTCTATCTTTCCCTCGCGGATAAACCCGAGCAGGTTTTTTCAATTGAACCCTAGTTTAATCCCCAAAAAATAAACTCTTTTTAATCGGTAGACGTTGCAAAAATTGTTTCTTTGTTCGATCAGGTTTCTTCTAGTTTTTGTTCGATTTATTCTTTATGTTTGTCTAAAGGATAAAGCTTTAACATTGAGAATGTGTGTAATCCTCTGAACTGAATTGTTGGGTAGATTAAAAAAAAAAAACTAAATCTTTGCTTGTAATTAGGAGAAGATAACGCCTGAAGAGATGAGTGTAATTGCCTCTTGCCATCTCAAAGTTCTGTGGACTGCTGGCTTTGCCTCTGGTCTAGCAGGTGGTTTAGGTTGGCAAGGTTCGTACTTACTTTGATTCAATTCATTTACTCAAACCATATTTTGATTCCCTATTGATGCTTCTCTGGTGTGCTTTCTTTCAGTGGCGAAAAGGATGAAAATGCTGAAGCTTCCTCTTACCGTTTGTATGTATTTTTTGGACTTTTGATTACATGTTTTTGTTATTATCTTTCATTTTAAATGTTTCATTCTCTATTCATCACCTCCACAGTACCTGCTGTGGCGGCTTTTTCTGCTGCTTGGGATTGGTCAGGCTCCACTACTGCTGTTTCTTGCCTTGATAATATTCTTAAGCAAGATGCTACACGTATGCAGAGAGAGCTTGTCAATGTGTAAGCATCCCCTCCTCCCTTGCTTCTCTCAGACTTGTTGATTTCTTTCTTTAACTTTAAGCAGATTTTGACGGACCTTTGATGGATGTTACAATAATGCAATATTATCTTTCTTTAACTACAGTTTAGTCAAGTATAATAGAGGTGAAGCTTGGAGGTGGCAACTTATGTCTAAGCATTTCTATCCTGAAGCTGTTTACAACGATCAAGGAGAGAAACCTCAGATGCGCTGGCGTAAGAGGAGGACTTTTACAGAACTTGCCGCTACTTATGATGATGATGATGTTGATGAAGCTAAACCTCAGAGAACCAATAATGGCTTACCAAACCGAAGCATTTCCCATGGATCTGATGCTTCAAAAACTAAACCAGTGCTCCAAAACAGCTCTGTGAGTACTATCTGTCTGATCTGATCTTAGTTGTTAGTTCTAAATCCTCTGCGAATGCTTTAGTAGCATCAGTGTGTAATCTGGAATCTTGGTCAGGGAAATTCGGATGGCGAAATGGTGGATGAAGAAGATGGTCTTGACAGTGTATTTGGTGGACCAGAACCAACAGAGAGCGTTCCTGCGCCGGTTAATGCGAAAGCTTCAAGTAAAGCGCAAACTCGCAAACAGAAAAGAGCTCAACGAAGACTTAGACGAAAAAACCGTGAAGAAGCTTCCATTAATAATACTACTCCTCAGTATGAACTTGCTTAGACTTAGACAAAACAAGTTTGCTTTGTACTGTTTGATGATTATCACGATGAATCTTGTCTTGAATTTCTGTAAGCTCCATTTAACTTAATACTCCAGGTTTCATTTTCCATATTGTCATTTTGAATCCCATTTTGTGGAGGACTATCATGTAATAAAAAGTGTTGAGGCTTTTAAGATGTCTTCAGGTTAAGCAAGATGTTTATGTATAATGGTGAAGCAAAATTTGAGTACACGATGAAGAATCCAAAGGAACTTAGCAGACAACGTCACAACGACAAATGTACAATTTATAATTTGTTCCTATGCTTATTTGACATCTCTCTATTCCTCGATTGTTAGATGAAAATACTCTTCAAGGATTCCTCTACGCGTCCTGCCAAACCCTTTAGCCACTTCCTCCATTTCCTTAAGCTTTGTCACTTCTTTCCTTATCTGATCCATTCTCTTCAACACGTTCGTCATCAAGCTATCTGCATCTGAACCTGATACACGCCTAGACATCTCTGACTTCTCCTCCTCAAGTTGCCTATACAGATCACCGAGACATTCCTTCTGAGCATGAAGTCTGACTTCAGCGATCTGATACTCAGATTCCTGAGCTTCTCTCAACGCTTTTAGAACCTCACGGATCTCTTCCTCAAGTTTGTGCATCTCTGCCTCGTGATTGAATGGCATGGGCTCGATTGGTGTCACGTCTTGTAGACTTTGCAATGCATCATCATTGTCTTTACCTTCTCCACTCTCAGAGAAATCTACTACCAACACAAAGTTAACATGTTAACACTTAACCACACAGCAAAAGATCGTGGTGAGTGATTATACCTGACCATATAGTAGGTGTATCATCATTCCAAAGATCTTCCAAGCTCGTGCCACACTTAAGCTGCCAAAGATTAGCCTCTTTAGTTTCAAGAAAATCCAGTAAAACACCACTTTTTGTGCACAGTGTATATAGTGTACCTTGATGACTGTTGATTCGATACAGTTCAGCAGCTCCTTAGCACTGACTCTCTGTGAGCCACGCAGTACACATATACCGAGATTAAGAATCTTCTCCACATCGCCTTGGTACTCCACAGTCTTACATACTTCCAAGAACCTGTTAACATGCGGAACCAAGTCCTTTTTGGCGTCACATCTCCTACAATAATATTCAGCATCCAACCCAATACTCCCTCCAACGGTTCCAGCCATGTAAGCTCGAAGAGCACAGTTTACATGAGCAACATGTCCACATATAATACCCTCGGAAACCACAGCTTCACATTTGACATAGCTGTAACCTCCATGCTCAACGCTTATTGATTTACAGCAGAGGGTGCAAGAGCAATAGGTGCAGAAATTAGGTTCACTACAGCAAATGTCACAAGGCATTGGTTCGGTTTCACTCGGCGGCATCATCAGGAGGCTCCCGCATTTGTCATTACCAGCTTTACAAACAAGAACATCAGATACATTGTCCTGCATTGGATCTTCACCATCTGAGGTATACACTGGCATTATAGAACGCTTCATACATATGCCTATCAAACACCACAAGGAGCTATTTAGTTCAGAATAGTACTCCCCTCTGTTTCATGTTATAAGTAGTTTGTTTGTTTAAAAATATAAATAGTTTTCATATTTCTATTATGTGTAATCAAATAATATAGACTTATTTATGATTGGTTCAACTATAGCAAATGCTTCTTTTTAACTATCTTTGTGCATTTAACTAAAACTACTTACATAAAGAAACAGAGGGAGCATATCATCATATATTATAAGATAGGTCTTAAGAGTTGGTTGAATCTAACCATCTGTGCTAGGAACAGCCCAACTGAAAGAAGCAAAGAACTTGTGAACATCAGCATCAGGGAAAGCTAGACGAATGTAGCGTTCAAGTGAGAGCCTGCTCCTAAACGCGGTGCCTTTACGCATGGTTTCAGTGGAGGATAAACCAGGAAGATGCTTAGGAGGGTATAAGTAGCGATCTAGAAAGGTGCCTTTACCGGTGATTCTAGGTCCTACTTTCCAACGCCACGTGTCTCCAGGCATAGGCCAGTTCTCAGGTGCGTAAGGTAAGCCAACACCAGATTCCATTGGCCTTACTGGTCTCAAAAGAAGACGAGGAGGCTCTACGTCTCTGTTACTTTGATCATTAGTATCAGTAGTGTCCATGATGATATAATACCTGCAAATAAATCAAAATACCACTTTTAAGTTAATTCATTAAAATGGCACAGTTATGTCCGAATCCAGACAACAACAACAACAACATCAAAAGAATATATTTTTTTGTTTATTTTAATAATAAAAAGAGTTTTTGATATCTAAGTGAGGCAGAAACAATACACATTGATACCAAATCCATTTTATGAACGATGAAATAAAGAAAAGGGATGAGAGGTGACATACAAATCTCTAGAGACGTCGTGCTACACCGATCAGTTTCTAAAGATCTTAACGATGGTTAGTTTCTTTCGTCACCTCCTCCTCTGAAATCTCTGGACAAGGGATGACGTCACACTCGAAGGAGTAACGATGGTGAAGAAGAAGAATAGCCTAACCTCGGAGAAAGCGAAGTACCTCTAATAATATCAAAGTTCATAATAACAGATCCTATACATGGGCCCTTAGTGGGCCGTTAATGGGCCCTTAGTGGGCCGTTAATGGGCCCTTGTTGGACCGTCTTTAATAAATGAATTTAAGTGGTATTTAATTCCCGGTCTGATTTGTTTCCTTTTTGAATTATTCGGGTCTTTTCCGGTAAGGTTAAACCAATTATTAATCACAGTGGATTCGTGTGGGGTCCATTACGAAATTGTTACATTGCAATCAGGGACTACTTAAAGGGGTTTGGAAAATTTGGAAAACGATACTGAAAATCGTGTTGTGTCTTCATGACAAAGAACTACGATGGAGTTTTATGGTGAGTCTGATGTTCACATTGAGACAAGCTTTTTCTCACAACTTCAAGAATCATGTGATTTGAATCTTGATATGTCTCCCATTAATGGAGCTTTCTGTCGATAGCTTTTTTTTTCTTTTTTGCATGTCCCTACAATAACAACAACACTATGTGACAAAGATTGAAAGAGAGATAGATATACCCACCAAGGAAAACAACCACTCATTTGCATTTTTATGAGATTCCGCTTGTGATAAATTCCAACAAAACTATATGATGATTTATAACTAATACAAAAATAGAAATTGATCTCAGTGTATCCTTCCAAGGAAAAGACAACTTGTGGGGTTGTTGTGTAATATGACACCTTCATACCATTTTTTTTATTTATGCACAAAAACAATGATAAGAGCATAAATGTCTTTAGTATTACAAGCATTTAAATTTCCCATATAATTTTAATTAGTATGTAGATCAATGCTTGTACAAATATTTGACATTTTGTGGACATTTGACATGACTCATCAGTCCTTTTTTTGGCAGGGTTCTCATAGACAGAGATAGATCAAATCTAAGTATCACTATTAATTAAAGAAAGTCGCCATGCATAGATTTTCTCGAGCAGTTTTTTTTTGGGTATAAAAGAAGAAGACTCGTCAAAGACCACTAGGCTGAGTTGTTTTTATATTCTCGAACAAATATTTATCAATGATGTTGGATTTTATTAAGGTAGCAACATGGATTCATTTTGAAATCTTTATCGGTTCTTCCTTGATAGAGATTGATTTGTAGATAAATCATCAACGATTTAATTGGAGAATAACGTTAGCTCTACAATTTGATTCTTATATAAGAAACTTTTGGTATGTATTTTCCATGTGATGTATAAAAACGAACCTTAAAAGATCATATGAAGATAGACTAGGGTCGATTCTTGTCAAAGAGCATGTTCATCACTATATCATTTGGTGAATTGCTGATGAAAACAAGATTTAACGGTTTAAAAGATCACATGAAAAGAGCTAGGAAAGAACAAAAGATTAGTTAAGATGGGAAATGAGAAGTGAAGTGAGTCAGTGTACTTTGCACAAGTGTCGATCTCTCGTCTTTGAGCCATGCGATGGCCACTTAAGGTACTCCAAGACACTGCCTCCTCGTGAGTTCTTGTTTTATTTACAAGGACAATGATTCTTACCTTTTTCTAGTTTTTTAGGTACTGGTCTTGACTCTTTTTTTTGTTTTTGATAAGATTATTTTTCTTGAGTTCTAATATAGTTATACACGAAATGAAGAAACATATTAATATATTATCCCTGTAACTAGTTTTCTCTATGTCTATAAAATTGAAAACGAAACAAGAATATCAAATAAAATTTGTCGTCTGTTAGTTTTACAGGTAGGCTTTTGAACACCATTCAGATTAACTTTTTCATAAACTTGTAGACAGAAATAAATAAAAAAAGATAATGAGATTCGTATTATGTTTTAGGTTGATAATCCTAACGTTACAATTTATACTTTTTTCTATTGAAGATTTATTTTATAAATCAAATAGAACTATTTTTAGTGAAGCTAACAGAACTATTTTGTCAACAACAATATGATATAAATTTAGTTGACAAAGAAAAAAAGAATATGAATTTAATAATTTAGTATACCAAGTGTTGATGAAAGAAAAGTAATATGCTAAAAGTTAGCACTATATATGTGTTATCTATCATCTTCGCCTAAGTTAGCACTAATCCATAAATTTATTGAGAGCTGGTAACTCTAAGAACATTTTAACAAACCAAAAATTAATAAGAATGGGAATCTAAAAAATAAAGTTAAAATGCAATATTTTGGTTTTCAAAAATGATTTCAATTTACTATTTGACTGTTTTTATCTTTATATAATTCTCTAAGCTTATACTTCATCCTAAAACAACAAGTCATAATAGATAGTAGAAGTTTTGTTTTAGTCTTAATATTTCCAGTAAAGAACGATGCATGGTGTAAAGTGTAAACATAAATATTGTACCATATACAAATACTATATAGTATATCTATACTATTAAAAGAGAAAGAGTCTAAATAAATCTACTTAAAAAAGTTGTTTGGACCCATTAGACTAACATTTTTAGTCTTTCCTTATATTTCTCTAACTATTTAAATACTTTACAATTTAAATAAACTCATTTATTACTTTCCATAATCTATTATAAAATTTCTCTAACAATAAATATTCATGATATTATAACTATGACACTTTAGTTTAGTTAATTATATGCAATCAATTATTAAATTTTGATATTACATTCTTATAAAAGAACTAAATGATTAATTTTATGATATATAAAAATTAAATGNTAGTTTAGTTAATTATATGCAATCAATTATTAAATTTTGATATTACATTCTTATAAAAGAACTAAATGATTAATTTTATGATATATAAAAATTAAATGGGTCTAGACATTATAAGTTGGAGATTCAAACGAAATTGGTCAAAAATTAATTTAAAGAAGATATGTTTATTTATTTTACATGATATATTTTGATTTAATTTCAAATGTAAACTAACCTACTATTTAAATATCAGATAGGTTGAATATTTTTGATAAAAATATTCAAGTAATTCATTGATTTGTCTAATTTGGTTAAAAATAGTATTTTAGGTTATTTAGTGTTTAGATATTATATATAATTAATATTTTTAGGTATATAATTTATATAACAAATATTTAAATACCTATTTGGTTTCTCAGTTTGATTTCTATTTTTAGATTCTAGAGATATATGGTATGATCGATATTTATGAAATTTGGTTTAATTTAATTTCGTTTATTTTTTTAATTTAAAAAATTAAGTACTCATTTGCATAATAAAAAAATAGAATCCACGCTTCTCAATGGGTTAATAACAATCTTTTGATTTTAAGATCTTTTTACCATATTCATTTTTTTAATTTTACAAGACTGAAATAAAATAATAGAACAACAACCCTCTCATTTTATAAATACAAGGTATCTCGAACCCCTTTTACCATCAACTCAATCAAATTTAAAAACACCATCAAAACCAATNTTTTACAAGACTGAAATAAAATAATAGAACAACAACCCTCTCATTTTATAAATACAAGGTATCTCGAACCCCTTTTACCATCAACTCAATCAAATTTAAAAACACCATCAAAACCAATCAAAATATCTATTCCGAAATATTTGGCTTTACGGTTAACAAAAAAAAACCCGCGCTTCTTAAGCGCGGGTCAAAATCTAGTAATTATTTAAATGAATACAAGATGGTACATGATACATACTATCAAACAAAGTAAGCCAACTAGCTAAAGTCATTTGCTCAATACATTTTATCAGTCTCACTGTTAAACAAAAAAAACACAATGACAAGAGTCATGTGGAAAAGCTTCCATCAATGCTTTCCATCAAATCTAATCAACCCCTCCTCCTCAGCTCCCTCCACCGCCTCCGAAGAACCTAACTTCAACCACCTTTACAACGATACCACCACCACCAGCCACCGCATATCAAAGCCTATTATTGAAGTCATCCCACCTTCCTCCACTACAACCACCACAACATTCACTTCCTCCACCGGTAACTCTTCCTCCTCCTCCTCTTTGTATGATTCAGATAATTACGGTTTTGCCCCTGAAGACTCTCTCCCTCCGGACTTAACCACCGTTCTTGCCACACGTCGCTTCTTTTTCTCTTCCCCTGGCCGCTCCAACTCCATCACCGATTCGCCTGATCTTCGTCCCGTCAAGATGGATACTACTACTCCAAGGCTTCTCGCTGGAGGAGCCGCCGTGAAACAATACGTGCAATCTCCTGATCCTTACAACGACTTCCGCAGATCAATGCAAGAGATGCTTGACGCCGTTACGGACGCAGAAGATGTTCGCCGTTACGAGTTCTTGCACGAGCTGTTACGTAGTTACCTCTCACTGAATGCAGAAGATACACATAAGTTCATTATCAGAGCTTTCTCCGACGTTCTTGTATCTCTCTTATCGGACGGTCACCGGAAAAACTGACGTGGCGAAATCTTCATGTTAATGTAAAAGAAAATTAGAGTCATGTTGTGTTTTTGGGATTAGCGCTTTAGGATAAAAAAAAGAAATATATTTTAAATGTAATAATTGTGTAATGATACGAGAAAATCGAGAGAGGCGTGAAGTTTTGTCTCGATCGCATGCAGTTTAGATTGCTTTTTATATTGTTTTGTTTTTTACCTTGTTAAATAAATGATGAATCGGGGATATCCATATGTTAACATTTGATTGAGAAATTACACACACAAAAAATATATTAAAGTTTGATATTTCTTCATCAGGTCAAAGTTGCATTCCTTTCAACACATAATATTGTAAAATACTATGAAACAACGGAACCTAGATTTTCAAGAGTGTGGAATTTTAAGTTACAAATATGAGTGATGAAAAATAAAATTTTATTTTTAAATACACTTTTATTATAACATTTACAAACAACAAAAACACATTTACTATTAATCTTGCTGATAGGTAATGTACATGAACAATATATGATTACCAATTTAAAAAACTAAGCGGAAATAATTGCGTGTGATAACATTTCCACTTATAAAATTTGCGGATTTGAACATTAGTTACTTACATGGGGTAATTGGGATGAATATGATATATGACTGTTTCAGAAGTTTGTCTTTTGGAGAGACTACCAAAAAAACGTTCATGACAAACAAAGAAAGCTATGTCGACTGACATTTGGTACTATTTCTTCTTCTTTTTTCATAACGTATCAATTTATAGAATCTAAAATTGTAATTGACTTTCTTCTCTGCTCTGTGCGATGTTCCCACGTTCATTCACGTCGACACGAATCATAGAATCTAAAAAGATATATAATATGTTTGTTTAGAATCTTTGAGAATAAAGTCACAGAAAATGTGGTAATAAACATAAATCGGAGTTGAGATACGGCTTGTAGGAGAGAAACCAACATGGTTAGATGTAGCAAATTGATTCACTGTAGGTTCAAAACTAGTATTTATTATATACAAATTATATTGAGTTTTGTTGGATATTTAATTAATGAAACGACCGAAGCAAATTAAAGGCGTCCAAAAATACTATACAGTATATGATAGTGACACTTGAACTTGGATTGGTAAGCATATACAGTATTACAGTGTGACTCCAAAGCACAAAGGCGTCGAGAAACTCCTGTCACAGGCCCTATATTAAATCAAGGCGTGAATTGTGTTGTATGATGAATTATTAGATATAAAAACACTTATTTAATGAAAATAGTCTAGTTTAATATTTTATTCACCATCGTAACTAATTGTGATTTTGATTTTTGAATATAAATGGTATAAGATAATAATACGTTGACAAAAAATCCACAAGCCATGGATTTTTCTTTTTATTTCTTTTTAAAAAGATAATACGTTGACAAAAAGGAGATAAATACCCGTGAAAAAGAAAAATCAATTTCAAAACAAATTTTAGAAGCACATCAAAGCATGGCTTGATAAATGAAGAGTGAGTGATACAAATAAAATATTAATCACTGATATTCTATTTCAACAAATATTGAGATATGTTAACTGTTTGTGATTCTTCCCATGAGATTTTACACATAACACAAGGTGAGACAAAACAAAAGAGGAGAATCATAAGAGACGGATGTTGGATGAAACATCATAGCTCGGTCCATGCATATTCAACCAATATTTGAATTCAATTGACCAAGCCAAATTATTATATGTAAATAAGAAACATAAAAATATATATATTGATTTCTGTAAGACTTAAACATCATAAACATAAAATTTCTGGTCGCAGGAACTAAGCAACTTTCTTATCTCATACTACTTTGTAAGGTGGTATGAATTAGTGCCTGATTTTCTGCAGCTTGTCTCGGTTCTCCCTGGCCAAGTAGATATATATGATGCACACATGTGTTTGAGAGAGATAAGTCCAAACTGAGATACTTTTTTTTACTTTAAATATGTATACAGTATTTGAACAAAAAAAATGCATACAGTATTACCTAGGTGTTTACTACCTGATTAATATATATATTATCCATCAGACTAATTTGAACTATACATATGGTTGGTTGAAACATGTGATACATAGCATATGCTATGAAGGCAGAGGATAAAAGTTATTTTTCGACTTAAGTCTAACTGTATAATATATATCGCAAGCTGGAATAGCTCAGTTGGTTAGAAAGTGTGGCTGTTAACCACAAGGTCGGAGGTTCGACCCCTCCTTCTAGCGCATTATTTTTTTTCATCATCTTAAATTAGAGGGCAAATTCGTCATTTAGAGAAAACAACACGAACCATCCATTTTTCATCTCTCTCCTCTCCTTTGACACCAACGCCTACTGCTTCCGGTAAAACTCTTCGCCGTAAAGGTGACACCTTTCGTCGACGATAAAAGGATATTCACTGAGCTTTTCGTTGCTATCACTCTGGAAGAAGAAGATTCATGGGTTTCCTCGTAGCCGCCATTAATGTTCCTCCTCTTCCTTTGATCCATCAACAAGTGAAATCGAAGCATGGTTGTAATAAAGGTATCACCTTTAATCTTTTGCTCTGTTTTTTATGTGTTGCTCTGTTTTTTGAACTTTTTGAATTTGCAATAACAGACGAGAGATCTTTGTTTACTCGTCGTGGTTTCTTGCACTGTGTTGGTGGTGTTTCGTTGATAGCCACACTTGAGTTTCCTGGATTACAAGCAGCTGCTAAAGCAGAGGAGAAAGATGAAGGGGAGAGAGGAGAAGGAGTTGTTGGTGCTTTCAAGTCTTTGTTTGATCCTAACGAGAGAACAAAGTCAGGGAAAGAACTACCAAAAGCTTACTTGAAATCTGCAAGAGAGGTTGTGAAAACGATGAGGGAGTCACTGAAAGAGAATCCAAAAGACAATGCCAAGTTTAGAAGAAGTGCTGATTCCGCCAAGGAGTCGATTCGTGATTACTTGAGTAACTGGAGAGGACAGAAGAGTGTAGCTGGAGAAGTAAGTCACATGTCTTCCTTTCTTGTTTGTTTTCATCTTTTTGAGATTTGATGAATGAAACTTTTTTGATGTGTTCAGGAATCTTATGCGGAGCTGGAGAAAGTAATCAGAGCTTTGGCTACGTTTTACTCAAAGGCAGGCCCTTCTGCACCTCTTCCTGAGGAGGTTAAGACTGAGATTTTGAATGATCTTAACAAGGCTGAAGAGTTTTTGTGACAGTTGTCTCTCTATCAGATTCTGCAGCTACAAGTTTTGATGTGACATGTTTGTACTGATACAAGTCTTTGAGGAAAATCTGTGAGATAAAAGAGCTCTTATATGCAAAAATTAAACACTGCACCAAAATTACTAATGGGACGTTATATAATACAATGTTGTAAATCCCTGAATTGGAGGAGTTAATAATAATGTTAAATACAAAGTATAGACACAACAACAAGACACTAAATATGAGAAAAAACTTAGGCTTTAAAGGATAAATCATGTAACACATGCTTTTCCTTACTCTGTAGTATCATATATGTGAAACTGAATCTCTCTCGTTAACTAATCTCAACCTTTGAAGCATGCAAGCTTTGACTATAATCAAATGAGCATCAATTCTCCCAACAAATACAGACAGATATATTGTGTACTTCCTCCTCCTCGAGAACACTTCTTTCAACTAGAATAATATTCTCAGATTAATCTTTTCCCCTTCACAAAAGTAAACCATCTGCTTTCGATACAGCCAACTTAGTATCACGACCGAGTATGTCACTGTCTTTACATGAAGGAGTGGCTTCTTTGTTCGATGAGTTTTGTTCACTCTTGCCTTCTTGGGTGATAGAGCTCATATCTGATGATCCTAAACCAGAAATAGATGAAGAAAGATTGTTTTCAATCTTTATATCAGTGGATGCTTGTACGATTTCCAGTGATAGTAAACGAGTTACAGCTTCTACATTCACATCTTCGCATGTAGATCCTGTACTGTCACGTTGCTTAGAGCAAGAATTTAATATGAACTGACAAGAAGAAGAGCTAATCCCACGTTCTTCACCAGGTACATATCTCTTTGATTCATCACCTTCCGGCTTGGAAACCGTGTCCAGGGCTGTTTCAACTGATGTACATATAGGAATGGTTTTCTCATCAGAAACAAGAGTTTTCTTGTCGCAGTCTACATCATCAGCGACAAATCCATCGGAGTTTAGACAAGTTTCAGCAAATGACGCAGATTCAGATTTCTTTTCTGACTCTATCTCTGAAGCCATGGCATCCTTATGTACAACAACACAGTCATCATGGAGCAGAGGTTTCTGTAACATGTCTATTCCAGGAAATACTAACGTGTTGAGGGACCTCATCTCTTTCCTAACTGACTCATCAAGAGGAGTGAATCCAAAGTTACCGGTCCACGCATGCAAGAAGTCTGGAATGGCAGGGATTACCAATTTCTCAATCTTGAGAGAACGCATAGCCTTCATAAAAAAGACAAACCAAAAAAGTTAAAAAGTTGAAAGCACCTTTCAGCATGTGATGCCACAAACAATGATTATATGGTTCAACCAGCTTACCGACTCAATTGCATCAAAAAGCCGACGGCACATTCCTTGACGCCTGTATATATGCCTGGTTCCGATAAATGGCATCTCCGCCAATTGCATTCCATGGAACCTAACAATGCCAACAACAAAAACATTTAACTTCTAAAAGTTCCTCCGAACTCAACACTGATGGAACAGATGGTACTTAGAATGTATGAGCATATGCACTCATTTACGTCTTCAAGTCTAAGAAACTGAAAACACTAAAGCTGATAAATAGAATTTCTTAATTATCGCTTAGTTAAACAGCCTGCTCGTTCTACAGGAAATAATTTGAGCAGACAGAAGACAGACAAGTAGAAAAGTAAGACTGAGATGCTTGCTAGACAATACCTGAGAGATGCTGCACATATTATCTCATCTCCTTTCTCTAGAATAGCAGTGTAGAAGCCAGTATAATTTATCCGGTTGAAATTGGATCTGCATAGAGAAGACATACATCATACTGAATCAAGTATATAGATAGCAAAGAGCAACCAAATTTATAGGCGTTTATAGTTCTTTGCACGTTAATCTCAGAAACAAGTTGCAAACATATAGGGGTTTATAGATGGATACCAAGCTAGTATATCAAGAGGAGTTGATGACATCATACATTTTCAGCACAAAGTAGTAAAAGACGGATTAGAGACAAAAAAACTTACCCACAATTATAAAGGACATTGCGAATTAGATTGATCCCACTCCTCCTGTCAATTATGGGCAAGAAACACTCATCCATGATTGCCAGCCCGACAGCTAGTTTTGAGTTATTTTCAATCCTTTGTGCCGACAACTGAGAGTTAAATTTTGAATCCGTATTCACCCTATGAATAAGAGACCATGTGTAGCCGCCTTCAATTTCATGTTTGACACCAAGATACTTCTTTAACTTTTCAAAGAGCTGTAGAAAACAATGGAAGTAAAGTTAACATACGAGGAAAAGAGCCAAGAGAGACCAACGAGACACTGACATAGAAAATTACTCAACAAAAAGATAAAGACATTATACCTCTAAGCACTTAGGTCCACAAAACGAAGAAGCTGAAGATTGAACATCATGAGCTTCCTCCTCACTCATGCATGATTGGTGATCTACAAAAGCGGTTATAAAAATTGAGGACGCCATTGTTACCAGTGGAAGTTCATGAAAAGGATAATCAAGCTCAATGGAGAAAACATCTCACATTTTCTCTCACAAATGTTGCAGGAAAGTAATGAAGGCTTTTCCTCTTTGCCACCAGAATGCACCACAGCATCACAAAATTTGCAAGTGCAGTTTGGACAGTGCCAGTCACCCACAGGAAGCACCTACAATTAAAGCATGATACAAGTACGTGAATACACATAAGAAAACATAATAAAACTCCAAAACCATAAAATGGTAAGAATTTATAAACAGGTAAGACCTCGCAATGATTCATACCTCAATACCTAGGCAGGTTTGATGGTATGTTGATGGACAACCATCACAGCAAAGCAAATCACCACCATCCCCACAGATACCACAAGCATCATCATGTGGATCATCGCCGTCGGCGTCAACGTGATGAAAACCAAGATTCTTAGCACCTTTTTGCATATTCCACGCTCTGATTTGGCAATGAAGAAGAGAACTGCCAGATTCCAGGTATATATTTTGGAAAGGCTGACAACACTTGCTCCCAGCATGGATCTCAAACCTGGAAATTGTGAGGACTTTACTGCAGCAGGCACAATGAATCCCCGCTCTTGTAACCCATCCCTCCAACATCACCTTTGTACATTGATGGTTCATGTATTGTACCTTCTCCCTTACCTGGACAACTCCACAATCAATCAACCAAGAGAGCAGTGTCCTCTTTCCAGAGTATGGATTGAACCCGTTGATTGCTGGATTCTTTTTATCCTCAGAACTACGCACCTTCAAAGTACATCTTCCTATTTTTTTGCTTAGTCTTCCATCTAGATAATGTGCATCTGATCCAGAAGATGGCCTTGCATCATTGTAGTAGGACTGTCTTTTACTTTTCGAGTGTAAATCATCGTTTCTTCTTCTTTTTATCGATTTCGCAGACATCTTTACGAACCTCTCTTCAAAGGTATCACTGTCCACTCCAACTTCATAGCTTTCCCTTTCACTCTCACTACCACTGTAATCTTTTCCCCGTTTCTTTGAACTCTCAGTCCGTGTCTTCTTCACCTTCCTAGCTAAATTGTTCACAATATCCTCTGATACAGAAACAACTGCAGCAACATCTTTCCTCGATCTAGCATCAATGTCTTCTTCTTTTAACTGCTGCCGAAAAGCATCATATGCTTTAATTATTGACCAAAACGCTATTCCCGAGGGGTTTACATATACAGTATCAAGGTAAGTTTGATTCCTCCTAGGTCTATAGTCTATCGTCCACCCTGCATCAGTAAGCATTCCCTTGATTTTCTCACGTAATCTTTGCTTCTCTGTTCCACCGTTACGCATTCCCCTTCTCTCTTCCCTCACTGCAGGTTTCACAGATTCATCACTTCCCTTCTTGAGTTTCCGGCAAATTGGTTTACTTCTTTTCGTTTTCCCCTCCAAGTCGCTCTCTTCTGACTCTGAATAATTCTCCACATTATTTGGTTTCCTAAAGGTTGGTTTTGCTACAACATTCTCACGCTTTTGTTCCTTCCTTGAGGAGAAAGGCTGTCTCTCGTACATTTCTGCTTCCCGGTGACTAATTGAAGCAGGAAGAGTGCTTGTTTTATTAGGCACCTTCACCTTCAGAACACCGTTTCTCCCCTGCACCCTTATAGCCTCATCTGAATCAGATTCACTACTCAACTTCTCCTCAGAACTCATATCTCCATTCAAAGATGGTTTTCTCCTCCTAACAAACAAACCATCCTTCCCTGATCCAGACCCTCCAACACCATTTTCAAACCTTCTCGGCGGAAAAGAAACTCTCCCGCTAACACCAACAGTCCCATTATCAAACCGTTTCCTCATCAAATTAGCGCTATCAAACCCATCGTACTCATCAAACTCAAACACATCCAACTTCTTCAACCCTGACGACTCCTCCTTCTTCCTCCTCCTCCTCACAAACTTCTCTTTCGCTCTTATGCGGTCAACGCTCCTAGTTGGAGGCTTCATAAACTCCTCACTTGACTCAGACTCGCTAACGACAACTTTATGTCTCTTCTTCTGAAAACTAACCTTTGTTTCACTACAAGACACAGTCTTGCAAAGACCATCTCTTTTCTCCTTATGAATCAAGCTCGCAAAGCTCTCACCAGACCCACCTCCCCGTTCCATTAAAAACGATCACTAACACACACACAATAAATTGTAAAGGACTGACCTTTAAACCTAAATCTGATACCAAATCAATGCAATCGAAAAACCCAATACTCAAATAAGCGTCAAAATAGCACCGGATCCGTGGTGAGGAGAAGACAAAGAGCTTCCTTCGATCCTATCTGAGATGATTTGTATCTGAGAAATATCCTTTAAAGATCGAGCGTGAGGAGATTCAAGATTTCAACAGTTGCTGGTTTTCCTCTTGCGGCTAACAATGTAACTCCGCCGCAAGCCGAGAGGAGGAGGCAGGAGGGTAGGGGGCGCAACGGAGCGGTACGAAGGAAACGAAAACGGAACTTTTTTTTTTTTATCCGGATTTATTTATAGTAATCTAATAATTAAATTCGGAAATGCACCCTGTAGTTTTTGATTTATCAATTAACCCCTCTTGTCTGAATAGTGAGTGAATGCATCTTGTTTTTAACTGTTTCGACTCTTGTGTCGGAAAGAGACGACGTGTTCATTGGGCCAACGAAATACACTATTAAAAGCCCAAACATTAAATGTGACTTTATATGTTTCTTTTTCAATTGAGATTGTGTTAATTTGTTTCTAATTGTTTTTTTTTTTGCTTTAAATGAAAGAAATTTATATAGAACATATAATCTTAATTTTGTTATATATATAAACTGTAATTTTCATATTCAAATTAAATAGATATTGGTATTTGATATATATTATATATATACACATTGATTTTCTATAAATTAATCAGAAATTCGTATTTTGAATATTCCCTTTGATATGAGGTTACAAATTTAAAATTTTATAGTGAATTTTATATTATCATTTTCTAATGCTTAACTTAAATTCGTTTGTCTTTATTTTCTAAGGTAAATAGCTAATTTTGGTTGTGTATTATATTTGAAAATATATACCAAGTCATAGACCATATTCTTTGTTTTTATTATTTACTAGTATGTTTGTGTCAACGGAGATCATAATATATTAGTAAATAAATCATACTACTAAGTTTCTTCGTTTATATATATATAGATAGTGCATGGGCATGACGCAGACAATCATGCATCGAGTATTAAATAATATAAATTGGTAACATATGACTTTTCTGTAAAAAAGAATGAGATAGTATCAACTCGATATAAACACAGTAATTTCAACATATAATCATAATCAAACTGTGCAAAAACGTTCAACTGGATGATAACACCGTGACACGATTTGTGTTGACCACTTTTACGAATGGAGTGGAAGAAGGGATAGAGTCCTCATCTGTATATCTACAATAATTAATTTCAAAGGTACATATATTGTTTGAACAATCAAAAAGATATGAAAATGTGAAATGATGAACAAAAAAAAAGTCGAATGATTATCAAACGCCACTAACCCAGTGAAATTATTATCATTGTATCTTGTCACTGCCCGATTTCAAAATTTGAACCAACAGAAAAAAATCAGATGGAGCTTGTAGGAGGTTTGGTAACATATGAAAGAAATGTGTAGTAAGAATAAAGAGAAGTAGAGGAGACTTGGGAGGCTCACGTGAGTTGTTGTTGACATATTGCGTAAGTGCAAGTAACATTATAGTATTTCCAAAAGTCGCTGAGTCAATTATTACTGTAATAATAGTGTCAACACTGTTTCTTATCTATAAATACTATATTGTCATATCCTTCTCAGAAAATCAGAACTCAGGAATATTTGTCGGATTTCATTACCATCTATTAACATATATCTCTAAGACATCGATTTGTCATACTTCACTACGATGACATGAATCGAGATAAACAGTTTAATTTTAGCTTATGTTAGGTCATGATAATAAGATCATCCGTTAATCCATGTTTAAGTGAAGTAATAGTGGATTGAGATTGATATTGATATTTTGGTGAAAACTTTAAATCTTCCAAAAGAATTTACTTTCGCCCTTTATCAGTTACAGCAGGTGTCTGTCTGATTCACCAAGACATTTAAATGACCAAAGAGTTAATATTTCAACACACTTATTAATTACCATTAGTTTGATAATGGAATTTCCCTTTCTGTTAAGTAATCTTGGATCTAGTGAAGTAAAAAGCCAAGTGTATTAACTAATCAAAGAATTAAGCCCTATTTGTTTCGTGAACGCCACAATTGGCAGCTGTGACAAAGAGATACAGAGCAACTGAAGCAAAATGAACAGTACATAAAATATAAATGGTCGCTAGTGAACTGCCGAAAGACCCAAATATGATAAACAGTTGTCGTTGAATATCTCAGCGTTCCTTTTACTCCCCGCAATCAGTCGCTGCGTTTAGAATAACAGGCTAACGCTGTTTCATGAGTGATGTGATTGCATGTGTGTTTGCGTGGTGATAAGTTAAATTTCAGTCGCAGCCGCTGATCGAAACGAACAGGGCTTTAATATCTTAAACAATTAACATTAGATTAATCAACAAGCGAATTGTTTTCTTGTAGTAGCGAATTGTTTTCTTGTAGTGACCTTTCAGTCGAGTAACTTACTAATGAAATCGAGATCTAAACACATTTAGAGTTAGAGCTGACAATGAAAAGGGTTTGTCAACTATGCATGCAAGTTTATTTGAATTAAAGGTTGATAACTTACAGTGGTCATTTAAAGTCATAACCAAACTTATGGATATTTAAATACAATGAGTGTGTTATAAATGAACAAACAAACATAATCATAGTGACTTTTCATGCGATTAATAATCAAAAGTTCGAACTTAACTCAAAGTCGTCTCAGTGCATATTAATAAACAAATTCTTACTAAAATTAATAAATAACCCCCTCCCATTTATATTTAATTATTAATTCTTCCAAAATATAGGTAAATACAAACAGAAGAGACATAAAACTAACAGGATCACTCAGGATAATACTACATACAAGTACTTTATTTAGGTTGATATCACATACTCACATTCAACTATTTGTTCACGGGCTCTTTTTCTTCCTTTCCTCCCGCTCTTCATCTCTGTGATATATATACCTTCGTTTTATTTTTAAAAATTTTGTTTACCTTTATTTTCTTGTTATTTTTTTCATAACGAAATTAGTTTGATCAAAAGTAAGACTTCTATTTATATTTTTGTTTGTTAAGTAAATAGGGAATATATGTTTTGAAACACGGGAGAATGCTTTTTTCAAATTGCTTTCTCGAAAATATGTTTGTTTGTTAATTGGAAGAAATAATATTCTCGATAGATGATGCGGATGTGACCAAACAATTCGAGTGTGACAATATTTTGTTGAAATGGATGAACTTAAATTATTCTGGTCATCATTAGGATATATCTTTCATACTTTATATAATTATATCTACTTCTTTATCAGTAAATTTGTATTAAAAACAGCGCTTTTCAAAATTGGAACCAATAGTTATACTTTTGAGTATTTAAAATGTGAAACTTTAAATATGTAATTTTCATTTTACCACACAATTTTTATGTTTTGCAAAAGAGACTGAAATTGTATAGATAGAGACGATCAAATCACACAAAGATATGTTATGTGGATTTTCATGGCTGATATGAAAGAAAGAAATGAATGATGATAATGAAAAACACAAGGCCACTCACTGCATACTACTTGAAGGTACACCTTTATTGATACGAATATTTGATTTGTTGCTGTTGGCTGTCAAAGACAGAGCCTTTTAAGATGTCGTTTCCACTTCCTACTGATGAATCTTTGTATTCTTATCTAATAGTATCACCAAACTTTAAATTTATAATTTGGACCGTTGTGAATTATACGGCATTTTAATTATTAACTATATGGATTGTTCCTGCGTTAATAATCTATGGCTTATCAAAGCAAAGTTAAAACGGGATCAGGTAAACTTGAACGTCTTTCAATACTATATGGATTCTTTCATTTAGTTTCACCTAAATTATATTATCAAATACTTTATTCATTTCTGTAACTTACTGGAGATTTGCACATTACTGGTCAGGTGTTTGCTTTACTTTCTTTGTTTGTTGTTTCTTTATACTCCACTAAGTGATAAAGTGATGGCATTTAATATCATTAAGACTACTTAATAAACTACTAAAATTTAAAGTCGATGTTAAATGTGCGTATTTACTACTCCGGGGACAAAAGAGCTATGAATTTAATCCGATTCATAGCACGAGAGACACCTTGCCCAATCAACCTATTTATTGACCATTTCATGTTTCCTCTTTAAACTAGGTCACATATATGTAGTTGGTAAAAAAAAAGAAAAGAGAGTCACATATATGCAGTGGGGGAAACAGGAAATTTATTCATAAGGGTCACAATTGGATTACATCTTAAAAAAAAAATCGAGAAGGGTCGAAACTCTATTTTGATTGGGGTCAACATGATTTATTTGATTAAAAATGATGTGTTTTATAAATTTCATGGGTGTCAATTGACCCCCCTCGTTATTATCTACCTCTGCCACTGCATATATGTACACAATAGATATATAGACAACTGTATATATATATATACACTCATAACTCATGTGTGTGTATATCAGTGTAAAATATTCAAGAGGGAGGGGGAGATAGTTGTAGTTTTACCATCATCTATACGGTTTCATTATGATGTAAAATTTCACTAGAAATAACGTGTATAAACAAAGTAACATATTTAATGTAAGATACGATGCTATTTTTCCATACCCAACGAAATAAACAACTGTTATAGTAGTATTTTATTTGTATATTCACGAGAAACAAATGGGATTAGTTCAGAGACATATATATTGTTTAATAACCCAACAATAATACTAATCACATCAATGTATGAAAATCAATAAAAAAAGGAATATGTTATAGAGAAAATTAGGCAACAAACATATATATGTTTGTTGTACTAATCATGTATGTTAACAGCATGATTTCATATATTTCAAACGGAAAGGGAGATTGATGTGATCAGTATTATTGCTTTTATTAGAAACTGTTTAATGTTCAACGAGTTTTAGGTAAAGTCGAATCCTTGTAACAATCTCTGTTCCAACGGACAAACATGCATCTGTTAAAAACTCTCGACGCCGTTTGAGCTATTTTTTTTGTTTCTTCTTTCTATTACTTTTTTTTTCTTTCTATTACTTAATGTTTTCTTCCTCGCTTTTATTTTTAAATCATCCAAACTTGTGTTCCAAAAAAAAAAACTCTTATGTCTCTTCTCACACCACGAGAATATACGTTTTTTAAATAATATTATATATATTGAAACTTTTCCTATCATGTGAATTTGATTTTAGATCTATGTTTTAAAAAATAGATCATTAGGATAAAGGTCTCGATATCATTATTATAAGTGTTCACTTTTTTCTGCATGCTAACAAAACAAAAATTACTATAGTAATGAATATATTGATAAAACATCTAATATATGACCTTGACCAGGACAAATGTGCTAGAGTAGTGTTAACGGCGTCAGCTACCGTTAAATCCCATTTACCAAAATATATACTACAAGGGAATCTCTTTATCTCTCTCACCATTCAGTCACTTCCATTTTCAAAATCTTTTGTTCCCACTCTCTCTCTCTAGCTTGAAGACCAAGATTGGTATATTTGTTACAACGGGCTGATTTGTCTCAAAAATAAAAAAGGTGAATTGAGATATCTTTGAGGTTAATATCTCGAAGAAAATGGGGAAGAAAGAGCAGAAAGATCATCATTCAACAGTAGAAAGTGACGACAAAGTCGAAGCTGTTCTTCATCTCCTACGTAAACACTCTCCTCTCACTCTTAAACAGGTTTGTTTACTTTATCTCACTTCTCTTTTCACTACTCTTTCAGGTTTCTTTTTAAGTGCTAATTATTGTTTTGACGGGTTGATAAATATTTCAGGAGAAGTTCTGTAACAGAGCTTGTGTCAGTAGATTCTTGAGAATAAAAGGAGACAGTGTGAAGAAAGCAGCTAAACAGTTAAGGTCATGCCTTTCATGGAGATCCTCTCTTGGCATCGGTATACTCTCTCTCTCTCTCTCTCTAAACTTATTCATATAAATGTATAAATGTTTAAGATGTATATGCACGTATTATGGATTCATATAAATCTTTATATATATTCATATATTCCTGTATTTTATTTTTTCACGATTTTTTTGTATGTTAATATACTTTTTCTTTTGGGTGTAACTGTATGGTTAATATACTTATGCACGTATGTATATATAGATACTCAACGTACGTTACATCTTCAAGGTCAAAAGCTTTATTAATTAACAGAAGCTGTGGAATTTTTTAAACTAAACAAACGAGAGGATAAAAACATAAAGCTTAAAGTAAGCAATAGATTGGTTTAGTGGCTATCGTTTTGATATTTTTTGTATTAATCTAGAAAACAGACGTTTCGTTGCTTTTCTCGGGTTTTGCTGTGTCCCATGTTTGAACATCGAGCGTTAAAGTGAATATCCACTCATTATGACACCCACTTAATTTAACCTCTTCTGTTTAATTTTTCAAGATTCTTTTTAAATTTACTATATTATCTTGTAATTATTACAGACAGCTTGATCGCTGATGAGTTCACGGCGGAGCTAGCTGAAGGTCTTGCCTATGTCGCCGGTCTTGACGACGAGTGTAGACCCGTTTTGGTAACTCAGCGTTTTTCCAATTCTTTTGAGATTTTAGCTTATTTTCTGTAACCAAAAACCTAATCTAAGCACTTTGTTTTCTCTAGGTTTTCCGTATTAAACAAGACTATCAGAAGCTACATACGCAGAAACAGTAAGTATGATTTAACCAACAAATTAAAAGATTAAAAATCAAATATAAATTCTCGATATTAATGTGTATTTTTTTAATAATAGGTTGATTCGTTTGGTGGTGTTTACATTGGAGGTGGCAATCTCAACCATGTCCAGGAACGTAGAAGAATTTGTCATCCTTTTCGATGCTAGTAAGTTCTTTCTATCTTTTGTTTATAAAAATTCGATATATATTGAATTTGATTGGTAACTGTAAAATAACATAGAGTAAAATAAAAAGAGTAAGATAAAACAAGAAAACTAAAAAGAAATATATTTTTACTCTAGCAAAAATGTAGAGTGTAAACATGAGTTTATGATTTCTTCCACTTAAATAGTAAATAAAGTAAAAGTGAAAAAAATGTATCTTACTTGATTGGTAAACTTTTAGTGGGATCGGGAGTAAATTTATCTTTAGAGTCAAAATTTACTCTAATAATACAATCCAATCACATTCGTCATTTTATTAGGATGGGAAAAAAGTTTATAAGTAAAGGGGAAAAGTACAAAAAATTCAAAATATTGGTTTTTTTTTTGTTGTCTTGTTATCCTCAATGGAAAATTTGTCACGATAAGGTGAATATAAAAGATAAATGTCTACTTTTAACCAAAAAGAAAAAGAAGTTTGGTTAAAATTGGGAACCGGAACATGTCGGAACTCCGGCAGGAAAGTGAGAGAAGTAACGATCAGATAATGTCCGTAGTGTCCCTGTTAAGTCACGCTCACACACCAATCACTATCTCAATTATTGAGGGTATTATTGCCATTTATCATTGTCAAGCTTCTACAGTAGTTGCAGTACTTCTCAACTCTGATAGTACTCTATAGCTTTTCATTAAATGTTCCTCTTTTGATCCTCTGCAACATCCACAGTACACAGTACACACACACTTCTACTAAAAGTAAACAAAACACACACATGAGCTATTTTTTTCATTTAGACTATCATTCTTTGTAATGAAACATTTAAATTATTTTGTACACACTTAATTGATTGGTTAGCTAATATTTCTTCAACATTATGAAATTGCAGGCTTCTTCAAATCAGCATCAGCCTTTATGAACATACTTGTGACTACACTAAAAATAGTTGCAGAGTATTATCCTTGTCGTCTTTTCAAGGCTTTCGTCATCGACCCTCCTTCTCTATTCTCGTACCTTTGGAAGGTAAATAAATTTGCTATTTCTGTTACTATTTTACTGTATACCATACTGTTAATGCGATTGAATTTTGAAATTTTGCTCCTGTTTTTACTTGACAAGAATTTAAACTTACGTAGACATAAGTCAAAGTGTTAGTTCACCTATCTAAAGTAAAGTAACCACTGATACTTGAGGACTTGACAGCGACTATACTTTTGAGTTGAACTCATAGAGATACTAATCCTCTACGGTCACGTGTAGGGTATTCGCTCATTCCTTGACCTGTCAACGGCCACGATGATTGTATCGATGCATGATTTCCGAAACTCCTTTGACTACGACGACTTCTCTTCTTCTTACCCATCACGAGTCTCCTCCCTCCGTTTCGACACGTCATCAATAAAATCAACGGACAAGATCGGCTCCTGCGCATCCTCTAGGTTCGCCTTCACCGTATCACGCGACGGTCTCGACACGGTCAAACCATGGTGCCTCACGCTGACCGACACGTCATCATCGAAACTAGGAAACACGACAGGCGCGTACCTCTCACCGCTAAACGCGCGTTCTTTCTCATTCGCGTCACCCGCGGCTAGGCGCGAGCCTTTAGGTGGGCCCAGGAGAAGCTTTTTCGCTTCCACGCCGATGCCAGCTAGGACGACGGACCGTCACGGCATCGGAGGAACTTTACGTGACCCGCGGGTGCCTCGCCCGTCTTTCTTCCAGTCTCCGGCGGTGTTTTTCCGGCGAGAGTCGCACGTCAGAAAAACAGAGAAACCGAGGGATACGTTCGTTCCTTTCCTCAAGTTCTATCGTAGACCGTACGATGAGATGACTTATAGGTCAAAGATGCGGCCCCCACTAGGTGGTCTTGTCTCTATTGTTTCAACGCAGATTAGACGCCGCCACGTGTCTTTGTCTCAACGGTTCTAGCTTATGAAGCTATCAGCCTTTCACGTCTTGAAGAAGTACGTAATAGTTCCTAGTAATAGTATATAACTTTTGTTGCCATTTTGTTATAAAAAGTTTCCATTATTGTTGGCTTGTTTCTATCATGTTAGTTCATCACATTTATTTTAATAATTTTGATCAATTGTTTATGTATTCAGAAATTTTCTTTTGATTTCAATTATATATAATTTTTTTAGAGATTGGGAAATTATTTATAATGTTCCAAACGTTTGAAATTTGAATAGGTTATATCAAATTTATGATTGTAATTTTTACACTTTAATTAGTAGTAGTTCTTTAGTTGATGATAACTATAATTAATAAGACCATGTCAATGGGCACATTTCGGGATAAGCATGCAACAACAAAAAGTCTTCGCTTTGGGTAAATCTTAAAAAAAAAGACAAAAAAAAAGACAACGTGGTCGTGACGGAGAATGGCTCATTGGGAGAATTCAAACGAGAACATGCGATGTTGCTGTTGTTTCTTTATTTGTATAGATGATACCAGTACCTACATGTGACCCCATTATTTCCTAATCATAAAATAAAATAAAAAGCAAACCGTTGACAAAACAACTGATAACATTAGAAAGAATGTGAAACAAAAAATAATCTTATAGTAGTAAGAAAGTTGAAAAGAAAGTGTAAACAGTCTAGAGCTGTTTCGATTATTTTAGCTAAAAACAAATAAAGAGACATTTGATTTTTGTTTAAATCCATTCACTTAATTACCTTTTGGGAAAATTCCATATAAATACCCCAACTAAATTCTATTAAGCTTTTTAATACCCAACCTTTTTCACTACCCAGTTTAAAACCTCAACTAATTATCCTGCCCACTTTAATACATCAACTTTTATAACTGTATCCATTTTAATACTCAAACTTTTTTTATTTTAATTAACAATACTAATAAGTTTCCAATGAAATTTTGAAAATGTCTAAACTTCACAAAAAAAAAAAATTTATTATATGTTTGAGTAACGAAATTAAATAATTTTTTTATAATCTTAAGTTTTGTAATAAGTTTTTTAAGTTTTATATATTGAATTTAGTTTGTTTTTTTAAAATAAAAAGTAAATTATTTTTTTTCCTTCAAAACCTTTTTTTTAAAACATTAAATTTTCTACAGAGTTTGTTTACCTTATTTCTTAAATCTTCAAATAAACTTAGAAAATTTAAATATTTTTTCTTAGATTTTGGAGATTTTTTTAAATTTCGTTTGAAATTTATTAGTATTTTTAATTAAAATAAATAAAGTTTGAGTATTAAAATTGATACAGTTATAAAAGTTGGTGTATTAAAATGGGCAGAATAATTAGTTGAGGTATTAAACTGGGTTGTGAAAAAGTTTGGGTATTAAAAAGCTTAATAGAATTTAGTTGGGGTATTTATATGGAATTTTCCCTTACCTTTTTTGTCACAGAATCCATTCATACCTACTTTGCTATTTACTACCTCAGAGTTAGTTCCAAGGGAAGACGACCTCATACAAACAAACTTTGAGCTACTACGTAAATTATAGATACATGTATTTGATTGGTATGCGTACACATAGCCTTTACAATTTTCAATCTTAATTCTTTGTCACAACTTTTTAAGTTTGACAGAAAAATACATACATGTATAGACCATAAGTGTTATGGGGTTGACATACTTTATTCAGCTAGTTTCGATACTTGTTAGGAATATGTGCGAATCGAGTTAATGCGTACTGTTATAATTGATTAAAAAGGTCAATGTGAACTGTCTTCTGTTTTTTAGTGGTTGTGTGTACATGCATAGTGTTGCACTATAATATAAGAGTTATCGTTGTAGAAAAATGAGAAATGTCTTGGAGCAATTGTCGCCATTGCATCAAGGTTTATATAAAAATCACATTTATGAAGCGATATGACGTAACCTTGGTTTAGGCATTTTCTATTTGGAAGTATACTTTTCAAAACAAAACTATATATTAAAATGGCCTTTTCTTGCATAATTTTCGGGGTCGTTTTCTTTTTGTTGAACTGTTGATACTTGCGTCTTCTTCGCATGGGAAAATAATTCAAAGACAGATGTACAGATTTTTTTTGGTTACACTCTCGACTTTTACTCTTTGTCGGGTTATGGAGCAATGAGTTCCCATTTGTCCCTTTCATTTGTTACTTTTTTGTAGTAAATTCCTAAAACTGATTTTGTCTTTTAAACGAAAACATGTTCTTTGAAATAATTAGCTTGCGGACAAACTCATTATCTTCTTCTTTTGTTGTTATGTTCATAATGTATCAATAGTTAAATGTTGCTTACCTTTCAATAACTCTGTTTACAAGATAAAAGTGACAATAACAAGTATCGAAAAATACTCGGTTTTGAATCTTGTTTCAACTAGAAACTTGAGATCCAGGTAATTTTGAAAACATTAAACAGATTAGCGACTCTATTCAAACCGTAACTTTCTTCTCGACTTAACATATATGTTTATGTTTTTGGCAAGTTCAAAACATGAACTATTTTGGATGCATCTTAGTTAGCTGATCGATTTTATAATTGGCAACCAATAATTCTAAAATGTGAATCCACCACAAAAGAAAGCAGGCTGATGGAATATATTGGGCTAACTTTAAGGCCCAATAAGTTTTTTTCTTACCATCTCGGTCAGCTTTTTAAGTCAACTCTTTCCTTTGCGAAGGTAATAAACGTTTATTGTCTAATTACTGTACACCTCCAGAGTTTCTCTTCCAAAATCCACCAATTCGCTATCTCACAGATTCCGCACTCCGATCTTCTCCATCACTCTCGTCTCTCTGTATCATTTGCAAAGGAGCTGATATGGAGGTTGAATTCAAAGCAATGCTCGATGATCTCGATGTTCTCGAGAAATCTCTCTCCGATCCTGCTCCCATCCACAAGGTGTGTTTGAGGTTTTTGCTTCAGATCTCGTTTTTAGTTGTGGGTTTCTCATTTTTGTGGATCTTAGATTCGAAATAACTGAACTTTCACATGCATTGGTGTTTAATTAAGAGCTGATCCTTGTATTGATCTGACTCTTGATTCTATTGAAAGTATTTCATCTTTATGTGAATTTTCCATTTACTAGTGGTATATTTGTAAAATGTCAAAGCTTTTGGTTGTTGCATTGCATGTTTTTGATGAAAATGTATATTCTTTTCGGCTCTGCAGCTGCGATCACATGTTGAGAATCTAGCGGCTTTGTCTAAGGGTAACACTCACCGGCGTTCCAAAGTCAAGGTCTGATTTTTTTAATAATAGTTTTACAAGTTATTCTAATCTTAGTTGAATGTATATAATCAATGCAAAATGTTGTGATTTTCAGGAATTAAGTTCGGAAGTGGTAGATAGTAATCCTTACAGTAGGCTTATGGCACTTCAGCGGATGGGTATTGTCGAGAACTATGAGAGGATCAGAGACTTCTCAGTCGCCATTGTTGTATGTATCTCTCTCTTTCTCTCCTTGTTTTCAAGTTTTTCTTTAAAATTGAACTTTCCTTGTTTCCAAGTTTTTCTATACAATTGTATTTAGCTAAGACTCTACATTGACATTGACAGGGAATTGGTGGTGTTGGAAGTGTTGCTGCTGAGATGCTGACCAGATGTGGTATAGGTCGTCTTTTGTTGTATGACTATGACACTGTCGAACTTGCTAACATGAACAGACTCTTTTTCCGACCTGATCAGGTTCTCTATTTGTCATTTAATTTGCAAGCTCTCGTTTCATTCGGACTTTTATTATCTGCCTGCTGCATTTCATCTGTGATTCTGATCACTTAGTAATGGTGACTCTAGGTTGGTATGACAAAGACTGATGCTGCTGTTCAGACGCTTGCTGAAATTAACCCTGATGTAATACTTGAGGTATGTTTTCTATTTGGTGTCTTAAATCATTGGGTGTAAGCAGAGCTGATGCTAGTTTATTGGTTGTCTATATCCTTTTTTTTAGTAAATAAAAGATGTTTGCAATGGGTGTGTTTGATTTGAACTCAATAATTATTAAGTAGGAGGTCCTTGATGTATGTTTTTGTGTTTCTTATGGTCTTTCGTGATATTTTATTTTTGTATGCTGAGTATTATTAGTTTTACACCTGGAGAAGAGAATTCTATTTTATGCGATTTCTATTTCTTTTTTCCTAGAGTTTCACAATGAACATAACAACAGTGCAAGGCTTTGAAACCTTCACGTCGAGCTTGAAGAACAAGTCATTCTGTCCTAACAAGGAGGGCAGTGGTGTGGATCTTGTTTTGAGTTGTGTCGATAATTATGAAGCAAGGATGGCTGTTAATCAGGTAGCTCTGATTTTTCACTCTAGAGATATGGCTTTCATTTTGTTACAAATTTCACATAGTTCTTACTTCACCTTCAAGCCTTTTGATATAATTCAATCACTCACAGCATTTGGTTATTCTTTGATGTATAGGCATGCAATGAGTTACGTCAGACATGGATGGAGTCAGGTAAATCGTATGAAAGCTAATAATTAGTATATCACTGGGAATTCACCAATGCTGATGGTGACAAAGAATATCATATTTTGTGCAGGTGTTTCCGAAGATGCTGTTTCAGGTCACATACAGCTTCTGGTTCCTGGAGAAACTGCTTGTTTTGCTTGTGCACCTCCTCTGGTATGTTCTGTAATCACTCGTACAACTCTTAACCTATCATACTCTGCCTTAGTCCTTGAGAGAAAGTGTTTTGTCGAACATTTGTAAATTTAAGGATTTTGTGATCCAGAATGTTAATGATACCACGTACACTTGCTTCTCCTCTAAATAATCTCTTTATTGCTGTGGTAGGTCGTTGCATCTGGAATTGATGAACGGACACTTAAGCGGGAAGGGGTCTGTGCTGCATCTCTTCCTACTACAATGGTAACTTTCTAACAGCCTAACCAAAAAAAAAGATTGGATATATTCTTTAGTTTTGTAAGCCTTGTCTATGTTCTTGATTGTCAAATTCAGGGTGTTGTTGCGGGGCTTTTGGTTCAAAACTCTCTCAAGTTCTTACTGAATTTTGGTGAAGTTTCTCCATACTTGGTACACAATTTTGACTTTCTTCAGCTCTCCTCACATTTCTTTTCTCCTCATGCATAACACAATCATATGAATCACTTAAAATTGGATTTGTTTTTATGCTTCTGCTACTTGACACACAGGGTTACAATTCACTGAAGGATTTTTTCCCAACCATGCAAATGAGACCTAATCCACAATGCTCGAATGTAGCTTGTCTAGAACGGCAGGTAATTTGAGTGAAAATCCACTACAAAACTATCTCCCAGCTAGTCTTTGTTATCATGTTTTGGTTAAATAGAAAATGAAATCTCAAAATGCAGAAAGAATACATGCTTGAGAAACCAGCAAGGGACGCTGCTGCTAAAGCTAAGAAGGAAGCCGAAGCATTAACAGCTATAGATGATGGTCCACTCCATGATGATAATGAGTGGAACATAAGGTAACAGCTCAGTGAATTAGCCAAAGAATCTTTTTTTTTAATTGCAACTTGAAACCTGATGGGTATCTCATGTCTTATCATAAGTGTGGTCGACGATGAAAATGAGAAGGATACTACAAAAGCTTCCTCAAGTTCAGGTACTTTAAATTAGGACTCTGTACTGTTTATGTTAGAAATATATTAAGTTTAGTTCTTCTTCTTCCAAAAGCTTCCTCAAGTTCTATGTTGTGTTTTGTATAGGTGCATTGCCGGAAGGGCTTACCCGGGAGCTTCCAGAGGCAGATGAGTATGAGAAAGCAATAGCTATAGGGTCTGGAGAGACAGAAGAGGAGGATGAGGACGACCTTGAAGAACTGAAGAAACAGCTTGAGGCTCTTAATGCTGCCTGAGTCTTTGTGGTTAGAAGACAGAATATAGTTTGTTCAACAGTTTTTTTTTCTTTTTACTTGAGAGAGGCGGCAAATGCAATTGTATAAACCAAAAAAGAGTGTTTGGGGTTTTTTGATAAACTGAATCTCATGGACATAAAACTTAAATACTTTTTTGGATAATGCTTTCTCTCCCTTTTATCTTATTGTCTAAAGATGAGATACGATTTTTGCATGTGTTGCATGGATCTCTATTATTATCCATCCGAACTAGAAGTTTGTATAATTCATTCTGAGATTTTATAAGTGGTCATTTCATCATTTGAGAAAACAAAAACAGAACAATATTCTTTTTCTTTTTCAAGTTATTGTCATATTCATTTTCCTTTTTTTTTACCAAAAAATAGTGTCCGAAAAAATCAAAACTAAGGTGGCGTGTGGATCGCGATTTACTTCTATTGCGTTTGGGTGGAGAACTTCTGACCACATGAAAATAAACGTTTACATCTGTTTTTACAAATATATGATGTAGAGAAGTGAGTTGTAAGGTAGATAATAAGTCATTTGAAAATTAAACACGATGACGTGTTGTGAATTGAAGATTGTGTTGTGTGTAGGACCAGATTATTTTTGTTTAACATGATATTCCTCACTTTAAACCAAAAAAAGAGATATTCCCCACTTATTAAATTTATTTTTTTGTTAATTTAGTTAACTTAGACGAAAAGACCAGCTAAATCTATATTACTATTAAAGTAAGTAGTTTATTTCATTTTGATAATGTTCAAAAAAAAAAAAAGTAGTTTATTTCATTTTGATCCTACAAAGCTAGAAGCAACGAAGCTTCACGAATCATGACATTTTACCTAAACACGGTCAGAATACAACACGTGTCGATATATAGCTCCATACCACGCTTTTCATTTGAACTTATCCACATTACTTTACAGAAATCAAATCCCATTGTCATAAGAATTTGATTGACTCACTTCATAATCGTTAATTATAATAACTTTGAATATATCCTGGTGACATTAATGTTCCATCCTCCACGCGGTTCTTAAAAGCCGACTTTCTTTGTCCTTTGTATCTCGCCCTATATATTTACATACACACGCATTTGTAAAGATATTCCAAGATCATAAACATTATTCTTCATCCATACAAAGAAAACATCTTCACATACACATCAAACTCTTGCCTTAGATCAAATTCGTTACAACTAATCGTTCAAAGATGAGTCAGTACAATCACAACCAATCTTCAGGTATGAAAATTCATGTTTATTATGTTTTTCTTGTCTTTTTACTATGTTATTTAAACGAGATGTGAAAGACTATAGGCAAGTTCTTTTTTTTTTTTTGGGTAAAACTATAGGCAAGTTCTTGAATATTGATCTTATAAAGACTAATGATATATTATGTAACGTAGGTGCTAACCCTCCACCACCGATGTCTACGGCACCACCACCGATTGGTTACCCGACGATCGACCCTAGTCATGGTTCGGCAGCTCCTGTTAAAGTCGAGACCAGTTCTAAGGGTGATGGATTCTTAAAAGGCTGGTATGTAATTGTCATGAATAACTATGCTTCTGCATAACTATATTTTTTTTGCCTAAGAGTTTTTGATGATTCAGTACATAATTTTGTTTTGTTGTAATCTTGTGTTTGTAGTCTTGCGGCCATGTGTTGCTGTTGCGCCCTGGACATCTGCTTCTAAGGAGATGCAATAACATTGGAGTGGTTTTTTTGTTCACGAGTTGTGTGATTGTCATGTGAATTATTCTCTCTAGCCTTATTGTAAAAAAGAAATATTCTACTATTGGTTTATTGATTTCCTGTAAGACTTGTGGGTTTTTTATTTGAACATATTGTTATGATCTTTTAGTCTTCACAAATTTTTGATACTTTTATTGGGTCGACGATCTATTTCCCTACGAGAAGTATCGTATAACACAAAATGTCCACGAAATTATGACTTCATTTTATTTACTCCCAGAATAAAGTTCGTAACCTATTTCCTCATCAAATTTGGTTTAGTTATGATTTCTAAAAATCAAATTTCAAATCTACACTCTCATATAATAAATTGAACAAAACTAAACTAAGAAAAGATAAAAAAAAATCCGACCAATAGATCAGAACAGTAATCCAACCCAACATTCGAATTTGAAAAGATCCAACTAATTGGATCTTAATCCGATTAGTCATTGGCTTAACATAGTTTACGGTTTGCTTACACACAGTAAACCAAGAAAAATCGATTTTGTGGGTTTTTAGATTTCGATCTTTATAACTATGGGAAAATATCAACATAACTTTAATTTGGTGGAGAATAGGTTTTGTAAATAGAACGGGGTCATAGTTCCATAGACATTCGGTGCTATACGATCATTCTCATAGAGAATTAGATCGTCCATCCACTTTTATTCATTTTCTTTTGATCTTTGATTTGTTGTAGTAGTATAAATTAACCTTATAAAATATATTTCATCCGTTTCACTTAAATGTCGTTTTAAATTTGTGTATACATATAGCATTTATTTTTCCATATTTTTTATATAAAAATATCATTATCATATATATAATCATATTACAACTAATAAAAAAAGAAAGAGAATAAAGTTAATAAATCCTATGTTGAAAAAAGTAAATTGGAGCATAAGATTAATAAATTTTATGTTGAAATTTTATAACAATATTTATTTTGTAACATATTTTTCTACAAAACTTAACATAAAATGGAGGTACTTAACATAAAATGGAGGTACTATAATCGAAATTTTTATTTGGTTTATATAATCCGAGAATAAAGGAGGGAGCCACATCATTTGAATACTGGTGAGATTGACTCGTGAGTCCGTACTTTTCGCTTTACTTTCGGTGCTTTTCAGTTTCGGAGTCCTGAAACGTTGTCATAATATAAACCTGGAAAGATAACAAAGTGTCATCTCTACTTGTCAGCGGCTATAACTACTCCTATTAGGGTTAATTAATGTGAATCGAATGAACAAAACTCTTAACCAAAAAAAGAAAAAAACAAAAGGATAAAAAAAAGCCCTATACCTAGATACTTTCGTGACCTTGTGTAATCCGGGCTTGGCATCGAACCATTGAGACGCCATCAGCTCCAATCTTGTACACGGCTTTTTGTATTTTATGATTTGGTCTTAACCGTTGCGCTATTACCACCGTCTTTATCGTCTTTGGTTCTTGGAATTGAGTTAGCTCCAAACCGGTACGGTTAAGCTCGACCGGTTCAGGTGGTAACGTTACTTCGACCCTCAACGTTAAAACTCCTTTGTAATCGTCATCAAGCGACTTTGTTTTTCTAGAAACGTACACAATCAAGTCAATAAGCAGAAACTGAGCCTCGAACTCGACTATTCCAGCGTCGATAAATAACTCGTAGAGTTCTACTTTCTCTGGACAATCCTCGTCTTCAAATATGAAATTATCAACAGTGGATGAGAAGAAGACATTCTTTAAAAGAGACCCTTGTCGGATAATTTTGACATTAGCATCGAGAGTGAACTCTTTTGCTTCTTGTCGTTGTTCGAGTTGATGTTTAAGTTTCAACTTAAAGGGAGAAGGATGAGTTTTGTCTTTCTTCATTGGTTTTTAGTTTATGAGAAAAAAAGATGTGTCTGATTGAATCTTTAAGTTGTTGCGGCGTTTATAATAGGCGAGACATTAGGTTATTGTTATGATTGTTAGACAATTTAAGGTTAAGTGATGTGATTATTCATGGAAATATATCATAATTAAAAGACTTAAAAGTAATAAAAAGTAAAAGAGAAAAGGAAACAAATTTTTAGATACATCATACATATGACAACTTTTTGACCCAAAAAAAAACATATGAGAACTGAGAAAAAAGAAGTGTCTGATTGAATTTTAAGTTATTGCGGCGTATATAATAGGCGATACATTAGGTCATTGTTTTGTTTGTTAGACAATTTAAGGTAAAGTGATGTAATCATTCATGGAAATATATCATAATTAGAAGACTTAAAAGTAACAAAAAGTAAAAGAGAAAAGGAAACAAATTTTTAGATACATCATACATATGAGAACTTTTTGACCCAAAAAAAACATATGAGAACTTTAACTGGCCCTTCTTATAAATTAATTTTTGAATTTTGAAAATTTATTATACAATAAAATTGTTTTAGTTATCGTTGTAGATTATAATTTCAATTGTAAATTAAGTGCCGTTTTATAATTTGGATGCAAAATTTATTAATTTTATCTATTATTATATTTTTCTAATTATTGAAATGTGATTAGGTATATAGATTATCAAATTAAATGTTTTCTTAATCCGTGTCCAAAAATCCAAAATGACAACTAAATTGAAACGGAATGAATAATATTTTAAACATATTATGATGTTTTTACCAATGAAAATGTTTAAAGGAAATTTATTTTCATTGCGGTTAGCACACAAGATAGATAGATGGTTTAATGTACCATCTAAACAGTCGATCAGATTCTTGTGTTATAACACAGCCTTGCTTGGCAAACAATAGAAAAGGACGTTAAAAAAAAAAAAAAAACACCATTGAAGAACTTCAATAGTTTTTCCCAAGAATGATTCCTATAATGACAGACAAGATAGCCACTCCAAGGACAATCTTCAGTGTCATGAGATGAGATGTTTCAGCTTTCTGAGTTGTTGTAACGTTTCCTGATAAATTAATGTCTCGAGATTTAACTTGCACTTCTTCTTTTCCCTTTGTCCCGGTTTCCTGCAAAAGTTTAATTTCTACATAACCAAAGTATTTTTTGTATTCTAAAGAAACATTTTCTTTAATGGAAAAATGTAGTTTTGATTTTATATGATGACTGACCTTAGACTTAGCATCTGCAAGCTGCACTTTCTGTTCAAGATCTTTAACCAATGATTCAAGATGAATAATCATACTTGTCTTAGCTTCAACCTCTTCTTGTGATTTCTTTAGAGTAGCTTCCAACACTGAATGCTCCTGAGAAACTGCCTCTTTCTGTCTCCCCCCACAAATCATATATAACTTATGTAAGTTCTAAAGTTAGAAGAAGCAAGAAAATCAAAAGAAAGATTCAGCAACCTCCTTAGAGATGACTGTGTGAGATTCTTGAAGCTCTTTATAAAGCTGACTTGCATTAGTCTCATGTTCATGCAGTTTTGAGGTCAGCTTTTCAACTTTTTCAACCTGGTGTGCAAAAAAAAAAGAAGAAGAAACATCATCAAACAAGTGAATAAGTATTCCCCAAAAAAAAAAAAGTATTCCAAAATGTTAACTCAATCATTGTTACCTCTTCTTTTAACTTAGCTTCAGCAGTTTTCAATTGTGTTTCTACTTCTTCAAGTTTAGACTCCAACACCGACTTCTCAGCAGCCATAGCACTGAGCTGCTTGATTTCCGACACCATAGTATCAACTTTAGACTTCTCTACTTCGAGTTGTTCTTGAAGCTTTACAAGCTCACTCTTTGTGCTTTGATATATCTCATTGACTTGGTTATTCTCTTCAGCAAGGGAAGTCATCTACAACAGAAAAGAGTGTCAATATATAATAAGATTGTTTAGATTCTGAGAATGTCTTGATTACCTTTGATCTTAATCTTTCTCTTTCAGAAGTAAGCTTGTTTCTTAATTCTTTTATGGCTGCCTTTGAAGCATGAAGCTCTTTCACTGTTTGGTCTTTCTCAGCTTCTAAAGCAGAGAACATTGCCTGAAAATCACTTGTCTTAGATCCATGGTTTGCTAGTTCCTGGTTCAGCTTTAAGTTCACTTCAGCCAAGGATCCATTTTCTTTCTCAAGCTCTTTGATTGTATCTTCAGAAGCCTTAAGCTTCAACAAATACTCTTCAAGCTTCATTTTCCTAGTGTTAGCAACTTCAGATGCTTCCAGTATCTCCCTTTTACGTTCCTCGATTAGGTTTTCATGAGACTTCAACTTTGTAACCAACTCTTTAGCTTCTATGTCTCTCAGTTCAAACCTTTTGGTTGCTTCTTCAGCCTGTCTAGTTGCAGTTTCCTTCTCTGCTTCAAGTTCTTGAATCTTGATCTGGAGCTGGTTGTTTGTATCTGCTAGTAGCTCGTTCTCCAAGGAAGATTGATCAAGATCTTCTTTCAAAGAAAACGAGTGAACAGATGCTTCAGACAACTTCTCTTCATACAATCTTATCCTCTCCTTGAGATCTTTCACTTCTGTATCTCTGCTTCTGAGTTCCTCCATTGCCTTTTGGATACTAAGCTCTGAGTGTTTTTGCAAAGCTTCAAGCTCTCTGCTTCTTGTGGTTGCTTCATCTAATTCCCTTGCTTGCTTCACAAGTCTCTCTTCAGACTCAGTTATTTTCACATTATATCCCTTCACTGTATCCTCTAATGCTTTCTTCTCGGCCATTGCTACGCTTAGAGCAGCTTCAAGGCTAGAGTTTTTCACTTGGACTGCTTCCATGTCTTTCAGTTTTCCCGCAGCTTTCTCCAGTTCTGACTGTGATGTTTGTAATAAACCTTGTAGCTCAAGGCAGCGCTGAATACTCACATTTCCAATATCTTCATGCTCTGCACCTTTCTGCAAAGCTGTCCTTAGATCTTCTTCAAGCTCTGAGATTCTGGCAGATGACTGGTTCAAAGATGATTCCAGTTTAGCTACCTTCTCTTGGTACTCCTGCATCTTTCTAGCTGAATCTTTTGCCTCCTTTTCAGCCACTATCAAAGCAGATTTTAGTTGAGATACTTCAGAAGATAAAGCTTCCATAGATTTCAACTTCTGTTCAAGAACAGAGTTGTTGGACAAAGCTTGAGATAAAAGAGAATCTGTTTTAGAGATTTTTTCATCTGAAATCAATAACTTCTCTTCAAGTTCATCACACTTCTCTTTTCTTTCAGCTGCTATGCGAGTGATCTCTGCTACAGATGTTTCAAGAATCTCTTTCTCTTGCAACACTTTGGTCAACTTCTCATTAGCAGTTTTGATTATTCCTTCTTGGTCTTTAGATAAGGCATGGAGCAGTTCCTTCTCTTTGAGTTCTTCCCTTAGCTTCAGATTAATGCTTTCCTGTTCAGAGACTTTAAGAGCCAATGACTCTTGAGATTCAGAAGCTTTCTTCTTCTCTAGTTCTCCTTGTGAACTGCTTGAGCTTGGAACTTGCTTCTCTGCTTTCTCATCCCTCTTGATGTTGATTCCTTCTTTCTCAACTTTTATGAATCCACCATCAAATGTAGTATCCTCCTCTTCTTGCTCCATAGCTTTATCTTCCTTTCTCATTTCTGTATTCACATCCTGTAATAAACCGTCACAATACTTAATCCTACTCAAAGCTAGGTTTTGGAACTAAAATCTTCCTTTGCCATATCTTTAATCCTACTTAAAGTGGATGATATAAGAAACAATTATCCTATACTTTTAGTTATGAGTGAACTTGTACTTGAATCTTTGAGAATTTCAAGAAAATGTTCAATGCAAAACAAAAATATATATTCAAGTAGCAAGGGAAAATAAACTCACAAATATTATGAGAAAACAGATCAATTACCTTAACAGAAACATCGACCGACTTTAGATCCTCCCGTGCACCTTTCACTTTTGTTTCTTCTTCCATCTAGCAATTCCTTAAACCTTTTGTTCTGCAACCAATGAAAATTAAGGCTTTAAGATGGTATTAGTAAATAATGATATGCATGAACGAGATGTCAAACGTGAATGTCTAAGTCATGTTTTTTTAGAGTTTTGTTTCTTGTATCAACAAGATATGTGATGTGTTTCAGTTGAACATTCCAACCGCAAAAGTTCATTTTATTAAAAAAAAAGGAAGTGCTAACTTGTAAGAAAGAGAACCTAAAGTCTTACAAATAATATAAAAAATAACAAAGCTGATAAGATCATCTCTTTGTGACCGGCATACATCATCTATATATTCCCACTGAATAAGATGTGCTTAGGGTGTCAATGTATAAAGTCTTACCCAATAAATAAAAGATATAAATATAATACATGCTCGTCAAACTAACTCTCTTTTTAAAAAATTGTGTATATGATAAATAAATTGTTCTAAATTCTTTTTTTGAAAACAAAATTTATGATATTAAGATATGCAATAGAAGTTGGACATGTTAAAATAAAGTCAACTAAGATAATCGGAAACCAATTAAAATAAATATTTTTGTTAAAATAAAAAAATTATAATCAATGGCAACCAGATGCAGAGTGATGAACCACGTTATTAATTAACTAACAAAAACAAATTCTGAAAGAAGAATTGATTCAAAATTAATCTTTCTAAAAAAATTTCAATAGCTTGTTATTTGAAAAAATATATCTGATTCAAACTATTAACTTTTATGAGTAAAATCTGTCAATTTTGGTTACACAAAGATGGTCAAGGTTACAGTTGCGTGGAAGATACTTCAACCGTCTCATCAAAGTTTTGATCAATGCATCAAGTCAGGCTAAACCGGGTTTGAGACGAGACAACCAAAGAATATTCGATGGATATTAAGAAACTGTAATATCATTATTCATTAACCTAGTTTTCTAGACGCTATCTTTCTAATGATAGATACATACATCACATGAAAGTTACTAGTAGAAGATGATCTATCCATTGATTGATTGTCAAAGTCGAATCATAGCGATTGCTTTCAAATATAGTTATTAAGTTACAAGTTAATCGAAAACAGAGAGACGACTTGGAGCGATCACAATTCCAAAATATAACGAAAATTATTTCAAGGGAATGAGAGAAACGAAGCACACATCATACCATTATAACTTATTCAAAGATACAAATAACGAAAGAAAAAATGATGAGAGAGTGGTTGTTGAGAGATGCTTACTTGAACGTTGAAACTGCTGAATCTGTTATCTTCTTTCTCTGTGTTTTACTTTTTGGATTTTATCTTTGATGTTTCTCGCAAAAGATAAGAAGAAGACGAAAAGATGTCAATGGAAGACGAAGAGAAGTCTTTGTGTGTTATAAAGTGGACATCAACTCTTTTGTATTTTGAAAGGCAACTCCTGCGGATGTATTGTCTTAAATTCTCGTTATACCCTTTCTTTTGGTTTTCCCGGTTTGAGCGTTAATTCGATAAACTTATATGCTTTCATGGTTCATAATTACTTAATTAGTATCATGCTAAACCAATTTTTGTCTTTTTTTTTTTAAAACAAAACAATTTTTGCTGTTATTGCTTTTGCACTTTCAGCTTGAAAACCATCATGAGATTTTTTTTCTTGGAAGAGGTTACATGGGTCAACTGGCGAGACCATGAGACATGGTGGCAAAAAATGGCTGCTGAAAGATCCAGATCAATATGGAGATTGAGAACCAAACAGAGGGAAAATCAAGAAAGTTCATAAATAAATAAATAAATTTCTAGTGTGATCTGTCAAACAACAACCATGAAATGTAAAGATGTGGAGTTAAAGTTAGTAGTATAACTTAGATAGCCTTTATCCTAGTTATCATAAGGTTGAAGAAAATATAGTCAAACATCAATCAATGGATTTAAATGTGTACCCAACTTCCAAATAATGTGTGCATATCTAGGTTTGAAGTTATGTGAACTAATACAACAGCAATTTAAAGTCAAACATAAGTAAATCCATCATAAATGATAAACACAAACATATAAATAAATTTCATTTTTTGTTACTTATGTATTTTAGTATAACATTTGAGAGTAGTTATAACATCGACAATAAGATCTTCAAAATATAATAGAAAATAAAATGATGAGTACAATATAGATATGTGTATTTCTTTCTAGTAGCAGTTATGAGACTTTGGTAGGTCTTGAGATAATTTAATACTTTATGAAAGCAAAGATCGGAAAAGAGTAATTTAAAAGGCAATCCAACATATCCTTACACTTCATGCTATTTCATGTGTTCTCTTTTGTTCCTATACTGTATACATAAGTGTCTATTTTTGTATTCTTTACCATTTCCCTCTCAGAGCCGTAACCAAATATCATTTCTGCCAAGAAAATGAAATCTCGATGCATTCTATTAACTTTATCCATAGGCATTGCCATCATAGCCATTTTAGCATCCAAAGCTCTCTTTAGCACACATCCTAGAGTCTTTGTACACAATCTTTTCGATGTTTTACATGGTACATAAATCTTGATTCATTGCTCGGTTTCAATGTTAATCTTCTTCTCTGAATTATTTTTCAGTGTGTTTATTTGGGTTTTGTGGAGTAATGTTGATTGTGAATTGAATTCTTGCACTAGGTAAGATTTGTCTATCTAGACTTTAGTAGCGGACATCGCTTGTGTGGTTAAGATATCTGATAACCTTTTTTTTGTTTTTTTTTTTGCTTTAAATTTAGTGCATTTAAGTAAATGTGTCAAAAACATATTTTTTCCGTTTCATTTTAGTTATTGTTTTAAGGTTTTGCACACATATTAAGAAAACATTTAATTTTATATATTTTCAAAATAAAAAACAATTACATATATATTTAACCATATTTTAACCAATAAATAATAGAAAAGTATTGAAAATTGATAAATTTCGAATCAAAATTATAAAACGATATTTGTTTTGAAACAAAAATTTTGTCTACAGTGACATGTAAACTAAATGGAGAGAGTACTAGTAGAGGATATATTACATAGCTTTAATGTTAGTGTAGAATGCCTTTTAGCCCATTGAGACCCTGAATAATTAGAGATGAAAGAGTTTGAGAAGGTCATGATGACAAAAGAAAAAGAGTTTGAGAAGGCTTTTGATGTGCCTAGAAGCAAAGGAAGCCCAGAAGAGCAATAGAGCAATGTGGGCCCATTTTCGAAGGATTTGGATATCATTATCAGATATTCGACTTCAAGGATTTGGTACACCAAAATAGAATCATTAATCTCTAATTTCTCCTTCTTGCTGGATATCTCGTTGACATGGTTTATTAAAATCCGTTTTAAAACTTTTAGATCCAAACTGTGGAAATGCTCCGTGATGAGTGGGTGGAGAATGCAGATCGTTGGGTAGCTGGATTCCTTGAAATGCTTCAAGGCTGTCATAAAATGGTAATAACAAAACTCGTCAAATCCACTTTTAAGTTTTTCCTGATTCATGAGTAATCTATCATAAAGTAAAGTGTATACAACATATTAGGGATGGTTTTGGATCACCCATGTTTCTAGCAGAAATCATGGGTTTGCATCTCACCATCACGCCATCACCCACTTGTATACATATCATAAACTCATAACCTGTATACACATCAAATCTAGTAGTAAATTGCATTTTGCATGCCATCGTTAGAGATAGTTTTGGATCACCCAAGTTTCTAATGGTTCATGTGTGGTTTGTGGTTCTCTGGTTAGTACGTCATATTAATTAGTTCATGACTATTTAGTTCTCTTTCTTTGCTCACGCAGTTTAAAATTAAGTATTCATTTTGCTTCTTTTCTTTCTCTTGTCTCACTCAACGTGTGTAATAAACCAATCTACACCAATTTCTGTGTCCATACATACGCACTTATTGTAATTTTGACTCTTTGGCATATTTTTAAATCCAAGATTCTTGAGTTTCTGGTCGTATATGTGAACTTGTCATGTGCGTTTGCTATTTGTCGTTATATTGTAACAAGATATAGGTATTTTAAAGAAAAGTCGTTGAAACTCAACTTGAAAGTTGAAACTTCCAGGGAAATGACCATATGGGTTAAGGTGATTATGAGAAAGGTTTTGGATTCGAAGGAGCTGTCCATCCCTGATCTGATCATGAAATCTTTACTATTTTTCCTCAGTAAAATTTTATCCCATTTGAGTTTTCTTCAATGGAATTTTAATGAAAAAGATTTTATGATTTTTTCAAACTTAATTTGTTTGTACATGATCAAGTTTGAGAGGAAATGTTGAGATGATAAAAGTGATTAGAGAATGAGATTGAATGAACAAATAATTTTTGATATTAATTCGGTGAAATCTTCTGATTGTTTCAAATGGAGTTTAGTTTTATAGTTCTAATCTAGAACTGAGACACTTGTTGTAAAACTGTTCTGTTTGAATAAATTTTACATACATTGTTGAAACTTTGAAACTAATAGTAAACCCTTTTTCTAAAAATAAACCTTTGAAATTAATGCTGATTAATGCAACTCTCTAATGAAGGGCTCTTGACTGTATCACAAAAGAAAAGTCAATATGATTCTTTGCGTGGCCCCTACAATAATCATCGAAGGACTATCTTGACATAGAGTTGGTTGGGCATTCATATACGAAGTTCTTCTGGTCTAGCATATATTCGAGTTTTGAATGGTTGTGCATTATGTCATTACGTCTTCTAAATACTCATTCTGTGTCGGTTACCACAAAAAAATAATACTCATTCTGTGTATTCGTAAATTGTATCCCAGCTAGTCGTTTTAAAAAAAAAGATCAAATGGATACAATTGCATGTTATAAAAATAGACATTTGTACAAGTCTAAGTATTCTCCTATTTATTAAATTCGAGATTAATTTCTCTCCAATGTATTCTTCTATTTTTCGTCTATAATGTAACATTTTAAAAATATTCTAGGTTTATTTTACAACAAATACCTTTTACTTATGAAAGTTAAAAATGAATCTTATTTAATTTTAATTTTTGCAAGATTTTCAAAAAATTATGAATTTATTAGTTTATTCAAACTGAAATTTTCTTAAAAACTATTATGGAAATAAAAAGTGTGATTATATTTTTATAAAACTGCATTTCCCTATAAAAGTAGTTACTTTAGTTATATTAATAAATGTTTAAAAGTCAAAAGGATTATTTTGAAAATAAAAATATAACTGTTAAAAGAGTAATGTTATTTCTTCCCTTATAAATTTGAAGAAATGCTTTTAGAATAGGTTCTCAAAAGAAAATGAAGAAAAAAAAAAAAAAAAAAAAAAAAGAAAATGAAGGCTGGAATATTAGACGTCTATTATTTTATCTTCAAATTTTTGTAATGTATTCCGGCGAGCCGTGCGTATTTAATGTGAAAGAGTTTAGATTTTACATGACATATATTCCTTACTTCATCGATGTTGTAATCATTTATGTGTGTATCATATTACACAATTATTTCAACCGCGTGAAAATACAAAATAAATATTGGTCACGTCAGAAACTAGTTAGAGGGTCGTCTTCCTATATGTGTCTCTTGTGATTAAACTCTCTCAAGACAGCGTAATGTCAATGTTAGATGAAGTCTTCGGTGATGTGAAACCAAGCAATGCATCGAGGAGGCAAGATTCGAAGTCATTTTGATTTTTCTTCGAGAATCAATGTCATTCGGTGTGGAGTGTGGACCATTTCACAACTCTTCAAATTTGTAATTAATAAAGGTTTAATGCTTTTTCATAATGAAATATTGCTGATTGAATCAATAAAAAAAAGTTTCAAGTAAATGACTTGGTTGTATAAGTATGTTCTATAGAGTACTTACCAAAATTTAAGCAAGAAAGTATCTTGGTGTCGTTGGCCATAAAATAATTATCTTGCCGTGTATGTAAGAAATTAAATGTTCCGAGATAAAATAAATATGGGCAATTCTCTCAAATAGCCATTTTTAATTTTTATCAGAAAAATAGACCTTATAAATTAAAATGACTAAAATAACTTTTTTTATTTTTAAAATTTTAATTTTAATTTTAATTTTTTTTTAAATTCGAAATTCTATCCCCAAAACCCCATTCATTAACTCAAAACAAAAAATCTAGTATTAGTTAACTCAAAGGTATAAATGTATATTTAATAAATCTTTTAAGTGCTATTTTGATCATTTTAATTGTTATGGTCTAAGGATAAAAACTTTTTAAGGTCTATTATAGTCATTTTCTCAATAAATAATATAATTTGAAAATGAAATAAAATGGGAAAGTAGTGAGTGGATATTATCGTTTTATTGGTGGGAAATGTCCCTCAAATCAAATCAGTATCTTT